TTTTGGGGTTGATGAAATGATTGGAAATCTGAAACTTTGTTGCAGATTTTATGTAGATTGGACAAATGACATTTGTGTATGTGCATACATTTTGATTGTTTTTGTCAGAATGAAGGCTTGTATGAGCTAGTTCAGACTGCATGTGAAAGAGAGGTAAGCTCACTTGTCCTGTTCAGAACATGGCTGAAAGATCTGCCAAAAGAAATTTATATGGGAAATGGAAAAAAAAAATTAATCCACTTGTCTTCAAAACAGTGTAGTGTTTTCTGAGAGCTGAGTTGATACCAGCTGGAAACAAATTTAGCCGAGCTTGAACAGGTCTGTTTTCCAACTTTCCTATTGGACTAAAAGTTAATTTGAAATAAAGGGAAAGTCCCTGTTTGCTTAATTTCAGAACCTCCAGGGTAGCTGATGACTTAAATGGACAGGACTCCAGATTTCTGTGATAAAGTATGGAATGTTTAAGAATTGGTGTTACAACAGGAGGAATACAAGGAAAGAAAAATAGAAATAGTAATAGTAATAGTAATAGTAATAGTAATAGTAATAGTAATAGTAATAGTAATAATAATATGTATTTTTGCTTCAGTAAAGTTTAGTGAGGTTCTGCTAAAGAAATGTATGTGGCAAATTTCCTATCAAAGAATTTTAAACACTTTAAAAATTTTTGGTACGATTATTTGCAAACTAAATTAAATTATACAATTTTAAATAGCCTCCATCTAGTCCTTCTTTCAGTTCTCCTGTAATTTGGATTTGCTTCAAATTCTGCACAAAGGAATTGGTATTTGTAAAATGTTCTGGTTAGGCTGAGATTTGAAGTACTTTGTTTTCATGTTAGAATATTTATTTTTTTATAAATATTTGATAAATTGTTTTTCACTTTTGATCTTGTTGGTAAAAAAGTTTGAACTGGATTACGAAGCAAAAATTTTACATTTTGAAACATCATGTCTTGTAAGAAAATTATGTAAATATGTTCTGCTTGTAGAATTAATAAATAATCAATGGAGTTACAAGCTATGGAAAGACCCAGCTTTTAGCCCACCTTAATGATAGTTAAACTGGAAATGCAGATGGATAACACAGTTATAGCAAACCAGATTTTCTGAAAATAAATTTTATGCCTGCTGAGGAAAGGCAGCACACAAATTAATATGTGATTGTAATGAAGGGGTAGAAAAAAGAAGAATTTTAAAAACAACTGTAGAACCAAGGCTTGAGCTTTTTACCTTTAAAACAACACAAGTGAATGCTCTACAGAATTAGTGAGATGCAGTTGTCAAATGGGGAGATCATAATTAGTCCTACTTACACCTTCCTGTGTAAATTTGTGTTATGGTGCTGGGCTGTGCACTGTGATGGTCTGGGGTGAGGCACAAGTTCAGTTCATCCACTGGTAAAGAAGAGGGTGGAATTTGTCTCTTTGGATACTGTTCTGTGATGCCCTTCTGAGCATAGGTTAACCCTTGAAAAGATGTAGCTTCAAACTGAGGAGCAGAAAATGCTCTAATGGAGAAGGCCCAGAATCCCCACACAGATATATTTTTGATTCAAACCTACTTCAGTTGGGTAGGGTTGTTCCATAGGTTGGCGTTAAAGCCCACTGGGATCTGGGAGACTCTTCTGGGAAGTTTTAGACTTTTCCAATAAGCCTCTGAAATGATCCATTAAGCATGTGTAAATACGAGTTTCAAAGACTTTAAACACAGCCAAAGCAGAATAAAAGACAAATCTGTCTTGCCAGGTTTCAGGTTTTTGCTCAGAAGCTGGGAATAATACAAACTTTCTTCAAACAGTCAAGAGATAATTAAAGCACCTTCTATCAAGCATTCCATTTCCTGACAAAATGTATCTTTTTATACAATGTAGAATTTTACTTAATTATCCTAAAAAGCAGTTTGAGACATTGCGCCGGGGGTGGGGGGGAACTAAAGTTCAGTTATTTGGCTGGCAGAGAAACAAAGAATGTAAAAAAAAATAGTACAGTGTAGCTTTTAAAGTACCTTTAACAAAAAACTTGATTCCACCTAAATTGGAAAACACTGCAATTACTAGGGAGCAGTCTTTAATAAATAGCTGCATAAACTTAGAAGTATTAATTACTCCTTCAGAGATTTCTTTTAAACTTTTTTTTTTTAGTGCAGGAAAGCACGTACTGAACCTGAACCTGCTTCTGATTAAGTCAGTGAAAGCAGGACTCTGATAAACATTTAGTTTGACAAAATGAATTCAAGATGTTGGAATTATTTTGTCCACTTTACTAAGCATTTTTTTCCTGAATCCTCCATTCACTGGAAGATAAGATATTAGTATGTCTGTTACAACTTCCTGAGAATTTTTTAGGCTAAAGGTAAACTAAATGTATCCAAAAAAAGTGAATTGAATTATATGTGTTACACAGAAGGTACCGTGCACTTCTGTAAATAAATCACATAGGGATATATTAAAGTAATCCCTGTACTTGTTCACACAGGATGGAGCACCCAGGATAATACAATGTATACACATGGTTTTGTGAAACTTTTTATTGGTTTGGATATCCTTTTTATTCTTAATAGACTACCAATAAGTACAAGATGTCTTTTACTCATGCAGAAAAAAATGTCTATTTGTGAAGGCACTACTTTAAAAATAATTTTAGGTAATTAACTTGCAATGTCTGCACATGGAATGCCATTTGTTACAGGAAATAAATTAGGATGATAAAAATACTTGTCTGCACAGAAGCTTTTGTGCTTATTTGGAACAAAAAGTATTCGTTTTGCAAAATTTGATTGTTTATATTCTTTGCCAAGAAAATGAGAGTTAGTGGACCTAGTTTTCTGATTTTAAAAAATCTGATTTGATTAAGAAAACCTGATTCATTTGACTGTGAAAAGTGCTTAAAATGAATACTTCTTAAAAAGACTAGGTAGATGAGCCAGTGATTTTGCTTCTAAAATGCCGCTGAAGTGTTTGCATCTGTGGCGATGATCTATACCTGTCTGAAAAGAAATTAGGAGAAAATTAGGGGAAAGAAACACGTGTGAACTTTCTAAGTTGGAACTGCCCATTCAGTATCTGTGTGCTGATCATACTTCAACAGGAAATCGTGATATTTAAAACTGCCAAGTGAACACGTGGGGAGCATTACACTGTATATGCAGTGAAACACGCATTGTTTATTTTGTGTAGCATTCTTCTGCTCCCTTAAATACATACAAGATGGAAACTCATAGACTTTTTTTAACCTTTAGCTGCTATACTTGTACAGAAACTGCTAAACAAAACCTGGCAGACTTGTAAACAAACTGACTTCATTTTATTTCATCTAACACTGATCACATTTCCAGTAGACAATAAATATAATGCACTGCTGACAGATGTGTAGAAATGTATATACAATTAGATGAAGAAATCGGGTTCAGTGCAGTTCAAATCTCAGTTTATGCCTTTGCATTTCCTTGAATATGGCTGTAAAATTCTTACCTGCTGATGCATGGCCTGCAGCAATACCAGTTTTTCTCCTGCTCATCCAGAGTGCTGCTGGGCAGGCTATCCTGCCAGTGGCTTAGCCAGTGCATCTCATTATTGATTCAGGCATTTACTTGAGTAAATGGGATTCTTTGTTTCATGTGGCTTCAGGTAAGGCTTTCATTTATTTTCCCAGTTGAGATATAGTATTTCCTACATTTTCTCGAATATATTCAAGACATGAAAGCTCTGAATCTCTGTCTTGGGTTAAATGAATGTAATGTGAGGGAGTAAATCATCCAGGAGACCAGCAGAATTAGGAGCACAAAAGCCAGATAATTTCATTTTCTGGAAGGGAAAAAAAAACAGCCAGCAGACCCATATTTGATGGAAAGGTAGTGGGGTTTTGTTTGTTTGTTTTTCCACAGAGGAGGATGTGTGGAGCACAGAAGATAGGCAGTTTCAAAGTGAAACTTGAAATAAAGTCTTGTGTTGGATATTGCCCTTAACGATTTGCCATTGATTGTCCTGGTCAGAATATGAATACCTGGGAGCTCTTTTATTATGGAACCACCTCAGCCTTCTACAATGTAATTGGGCTTTTACATCCTCTATAAGACAATCTTTCTGTTGGCCTTTGGATTATACATATGGTAAATCGTTCTCTTCTTACAGATGGGCTGGCAGTTTTGCTTATATATGGCAAAATTGTTTCTCTGGAGAAAAAAAATCTGTGTAATTAATATATAAATGAAGCAAGGAATAGGCGAGCACACACTGCAAATTGGATTGCAATTACCGGTCTAACAAGAAATGTTCCTTGTCTGCTCTGTCTTTGTCTGAGAAGGACAGATCTGTTGTCACTGCATGAAAGCCACCTACAGGCGCCCCCAGTGTAACTGTGATGCTGGAATTCACTGCAGCATAAATCCACTTGAAATTTTGCAAGCTTCCCAGAAATTACGCGGCAGGAAACAAATATCAAGTGATCCAAGAAGAATATATACATTTGTAGAAGTGAAGAATTTTCCAGATGTACATGAAAGTTCTGTTCATTCACTTGTATGGTCTGTTCCTGTAATTCAGTGTGGATGCAGTAACTGCTGGTCATTGGAATACAGATAATGAGAGGCAGAAGTTCCTGTCTTGGCTTTCTGTGTAACACCTGACTTTTCACCTAATTTCTCAATTTTCTTCTGAAAAATACCTATATACCTGAATTTGTTCATTTATCTCTCCATCTGTCTGTCCATATATGTCCACTACCTTCTGCACAAACCCTGTGGTGTGTTTGAGTGGCAGTTTCATAAGCCTATGCCACTTCATAATACCTAAAGGAAAAGTGGAAAATAGTGGCATTGTTGCTGTTACCTACTTTCTTAGGTTTGGTAAAAAGCAAAGATGTCAAAGGAACCTGTATTGATTTGTTAATCTGCATGCATTGCAAACTCTCCATATATATTAAAAAAATGTTATTATAGAAAATGCAGATTATTTTAGATAGTATCACAGTGCATTAATACTGTCACCTTGGTTTTTAACAGGTCTATGGAAATGCAGGATCTAGCCAGTCCTCATAATCTTGTTGGAAGTAGTGATGCACCAGGTAGTTCCAAACTGGATAAATCTAATCTCAGTAGCACATCAGTCACAACAAATGGAACAGGAGGTAAGTATAAGACACAGCTGGCACACAGAAAGTTTTGGCTAGTTTTTAGCCATATGCATTTTTTACCATAATTTCAAGAATGACCGTATACCCGTTTATAAGTCCAGCAGAAATTATGAAAAATTGGCAGTCACACAAGTGTAAATTTCTAATTCCAACATCATTTCTTTGATTTGCACCAACTGAAGTAAGAACTGAAGGCAGAACTGAAACAAGGTGCAAAGATGAAATAAGAAAAAATTTTGAACGGTTGATTTGAATACAGTGTTAAATGTTTGCTTATACCTTATAACTTACAAAACAAATTGTATTTTCTGTGTCATATTTCCTTGATGAGTAATAATTTACTCTTATACCTTGAGTTACATGCATTTATGTTAAATTAAAATCACTATCAAGAGAAATGCATCCAAATTAGACTTAGGTGATTTTTTTCCTGATGAATTCCATTTCTTGGGAGGTAATGAAAATTTGTAATAAAGAGATTACTAGATTTTCCTCAGCAGTAGCTGAAGTCATTACTGCTGTGTGTAATACTGTAGGTGCAGTAGTGCCGTGCAGCTACAACACAGATATTCCAATGCTTTCAGATAACCAATTCTGCCATAGCAGTGGGAGGCAGGGTGACACATTCTGAGGTACAGCCCATGAAAGTGACACCATGGATATGATTCAAACTAGACTTTCTTTTTTAGAGTTTATACATTACTGTCTATTTTAACAGTTGGTACTAAGAAATTTTTTTTTTTGTTTTTTTTCTTTCTGGCCACAAGGTAGAGCATTTTATTCACTTAGTCCATTTAATTAAAAGTCTGTCAGTGTCAACAAAAACGGGATGTACCTGGGAGGATAACTGAGCTCTGCAAAGAAGGGCTGAACCATATTTTTTAAACAGAATTCTTATTTCAGCATAAAGAGAAGAGAAAACTTCAAATGTGCTATTAAAAACACTAGTACCTGGATGCCTCTATATTATACAAAGTGCATAAATAAACCAGTTAAAATCGTACCCATAAAAGCAATACAGTTCCGTTAAAAGGCCTGACTTAAAATGCCAAAACGCTGATTTGCCTTGAAGGCTATTCATTTACACTGAACAGACATTGGGAGAATGAACTGTTGTACCATTCCTGTTCTCAGGAGACAACATGACTGTGTTAAATACTGCAGACTGGTTGCTGAGTTGCAGTACTCCCTCCTCTGCAACAAGTATGAGAGACCCTGGTACAGTGCATGCGTGTGTGCTGTGTCTCCATGGCTGCTGTGTGACATCTCTCTCCCTTTGCTCTGGTCTTTCCTTATGCAGTTTGAATGTTCTCATGGGGTTCCCCCTCACCCCAAGCATTTTTTCCCTACCCTTTCTCAAAGGCTTTTCCCACAGCCAGAAAAACTGTTAGGAAGTTGCAACAAGTAGTTATCTTACAATTGCTTTGAAAGTCATTTGATGAGCAAGGAGAATTTAACCCGCTTATAATTAGCTTAGCTGTCTACATGATCTGAGTGACTGGGATTGTCTTGTGGTGTTCAGCATTGCTGGGAATTGCCAGTAGTCAGCATTGGTGGAAATCAGGCCAATGGAATTTTCATAGAATGCCCATTTGCTTTTCCTTTAAGTACAGTGTTGCATGATTACCTGAGCACAAGTCAAGGATGACAGTATTGTTCTTACTCCTACTAAGACTTCCATTATTAATCAAAGCTTATGTCTAATGTGCTGCCACATGTAACTTGCCACTTCACAAAATACTGGCCAAATTTTCCAAGCTGTTGTTTTCACTTATGAGTTTCCTGACATGTATTATTAATTGTCATAAGTTGTAAGGATTAATAATAACACTGTATGTGACATCATGGTAGGACATATGGGACTAATCATAGGTGTAAACATGCCTCACCATGTTTCTCTACAAGTCATTACAAAGGTACTTAAGTTGTGCAGGTTTGGAGTAAAGTTAGGAAGATTTCAAAAACGGCCTTCTAAAGAACCCCTCGGAATTAGCTTGCCATAAAAGAAAATTTACCAAAAAAAGTTGACTTGAGCACAAAAGATCATTTGCACTAGAATAAGTCATTTTATGTGAATGCTCCTGCTCAGTTACAAGATTTTAAGTTCAAGGAAGACTGAGATAACTTGGTCTGTCGCCTCATTTAACTATTCAGCATGTTCAGGTAAATATGGAAGGTAACAATTTAAGTACTAATTATTAGTAGTGAGGAAATAGAGTGTGTTAAGTATTAAATCTGATTTTCCATAGGCAGTAGAATGCTTAGAATTGTGCTTCTGGTTGAGTATATTCCCAGGAAAACTTAAGGCTTGCTGAAAGAAAGAGGAAAATCATTCCTGTGACAAGCTGTGTGGTTTATTGTTTTACATGAGCTTTTAAAATCAGGTTTGTTTGCTGTAACTTCTGTTGCATTTGCAACTATTCATGCATACTATTAGCACTTCTTGCCCCTAAAACTCTGCATTCATTTTCAGTTCTTAACAGAGAAGAAAGCTTTAGAGAAAATAAAATAGGGGTCAGCAGAGTATCAGTCATTTTGATATGCTAAATCCTTTCAGCAAGGTATACTGTAGAAGCTGTTGCTTGTTGGGAGCTGTATTCTCAGTTAGCCTTAAAATGATGAAGTTTGGATGAGATACCTGGAGGTCATTTGGGCCAAGCACTGCTCAGAGCAGAGACAACTTCACTTTATGTCACTCAAGGCAGCACTGAATTTTCCTCCTACATCTGACTGGATTTTTCCCTTAGTGCAGCTTGTATCTGTTCCCACCTGTTGTTTCCCAGGGCACCTTTTGAGGTGAGTGTGCCTTTGTTCTTTGTCATCTTTGCACCTTCCCATTAGATAGCTGCAGGCAGCAATTAGCTCTCCCCTCAGCCTCCTCTTCCTAGGACAGAACAAACCCAGCTTCTTGTGTCTCCTTGTACATCATGTGCCCCAGCTCCTGATGATGCTGGTAGCTCTGCTCTATCACCCTGTTGTCAAGCTGGCAGCTAAGCACACAGCTGCTTGCTCTATCCCAGCTGTAAGCAGAACACGGGCAGTCTTCACTGCTAGCAGAACTCAAATGCATTCCCAGTTAGAGATTGCTTTTCATTTTATTTTCACTCTTTCAATATGTTAAACAAAAAAAAAATATTAGTTCTCTTCAACTGATGTTAGAATATTTTGCTTTTCCTAAGTTAGCTTTGTGCTTTTCCTCCTCTTTATTTAATGACATACAACATAAAGAAAAATAGGTAATAGTCAAAATCTCTAGCTACACTGAGGAAGGACCTTGATGAATTCCTTGCTATCATAGAATCTGAATGCAAAATAGTAGAACTGTTTAAAATCAAGCACGTATAAAAACACTTTCTATAGGTATTTTCCAACAAAACTCGGTGCCAATATAATGTTTTTCCTCAAGTTAAGTACAAGAGAGGGTTTCTTTTGTTTTAGATTATTTGCTTGTCAAGGAAAGAAAAAAGATGGTGTCTATTTGTGCTGATGGCAGTGCAGTGCAGCTGGCATTAACCAGAACTAGACACAATTCTAAAGTAAACATTTCAATTCCTGACTGAAGTTTTTGTTAAATATAACAGTTAAACACATACTGCCTTCTTGGATGCAATACTGAACATTTGTAGCTCACTGTGGACAATAGTGAAATACCTTCTTGAACAGAAAGAGATAAAGGTACTAAAAAGTACTTTTTTTTTCATGTAGGTAGATGCCCAGACTTTGCAGAAGTACATAGAGGCATCCATATATAGTAATCAGCAAATAAGTTAATTAAGATACTTTTGATACTTCAGGCAACACTGCATGTCCCACATGACTGAAAGGTTTAGTGGAGGCCATCATTTTGTGACAAATTACCCCTGAACTTTTTATTGATATGATGAAAATTGATCATTGATATTATATGAAAATAAAGTCGCATCCTTCTCAAATAATTACAGAAATGGGAATTACTGATTACTCTATTATTCTTAAGAATTACTTTTTTCAATTTGGGTTGTTTTTGTCAAAGCCTTTTTTTTTTTTAAATGAAAAGATAATAGGTAGCAAAATGAGAAGTGCACAACAGCTTGAAAAAATGTGGCAAAAATTCTTCTGTAATAATTCCATATTGAATTAATATCCTGCTGCTTGCAGGGAGACTATTCGGAATGGTAGTTTTATGAAAGAGAAACAATAATGAAAATAAGTTTACATTCAAAAGACACACATTCAAAAATTCTTTTATCTCAGACAGTAAATTGAAAGATACAACTGTATAACTGAAACCAGAAGGTGCTTCTTGGTTGGTTTGGGACTGGTGCACCACTAATGCTGCAGGGCACTCTACCAGTCACAGAGACAAATGTATCCCAATTTCTCTTGCTTGATCCAAGCAGGATTCCCTCTGAGTTCAGCACAGGTCACTTGTAGAGTTGTAGGCATCAGCAGTGTCCCATGTGACTTCCTGAAGTAGGATCCATTAGGCAGTGTGACTGGAAATGGGATGTGATTTTGTAGGAGAGATAATTCACAGGGCTTCTCACAGGAGCTTTGCTGGTAGCTGTGCAATTTCTAATGAGTAACTCACGGTGCTCACAGGCACAGGGAAGAATAGCAGAATGGGTTTGTGGGTGTTGTTCTGGACATTTTACCCACAAGGAAACTAAGTCCTTTATTTAACTCATGCACTAGCTTTTCCTCTGCAGACTGTATGAGGGACAGTGAACTTGAGGGCAGCTCAGGCAGTCCTTGGGCTGAATCAGCCTCTGGAAGTACCTCTCTGTCCCAGCTAAACATAAAGGGAGATTAGTAGGCACCTTTTATACGCTTGATTTAGGCGACTTGAATCTGAGCCACAGTTTTTAAATACATTGCCAGCTCAGAACATGAAATTCCCCCCTTTCCCATACTCTTGCCAGTGCAGTCAAACATGGATTCAGTGATGTTGACAGATGAGAGCTTTGGTCAGCTTAGCTGAGGTCTCTCAGGTAACCAGCTGGCAGAGCACACCTTTCCTTGGTGTTTGTTAGACCTGCTGGGGGGCTCTGCAGCCTGGCTGTCACAGCAAAAGCTTCTTCACAAATCCCAGGCTGTGCCCTCAGAATTCAGATACCTGGCATACAACAGTGGTAGTTGTTTGTGCAGGCCTTCATTGCCTCTTCACTCTGTGCCCCGGGCACCAACCTGTGATGTCCATAAGCATGTGATGGATGTCCATGCCCAACTCTAACTGACCTACATGAAGAAATTGCATTGATATATTGAGGCTTCCACATTTGCCAGTCAGGCAGCCAATAGGAGCTGCAATGTGTTCTCTACTGCTGTTTCTTACTACATCAATTGGATGGGTGGTTCCCAAATTCCATTACAAAAGTCCATGCCAAATGTTCTGTCCAGGTAACATATTAAATTATAAAATCTGTATTGCCTCTGTGGTGCTTTTTGTGCTTTCAGTTACAGCTTGGATGGTAAGACTGCATGATGATCATCCCTGAGAAATAAATTTGAGTTCAGAGTAGACCAAACTGTTTGGTAATCTCTGAGTAAGAAGCTGACTTGTCATGGCTGTCATTTGTGTCCTACTCTAGTTCTTTTTGGCTCTTTTTTTCTTTCAAACTTCTCTCTTCAGTTATGGAAAATTGCTTGCTGGTGACCTAGCTCAAAAAGGCCCCCACGGACTCTGTAAAAGTGGAAAGGGAAAGGCAGCATGCTGGCTGGCACTGTGAAAGTAATTTGCTTCTATATTAGCATGAAACCATATTATAATTGGTCAGGCAAAATTATTTTTGTTATGTGCTACATCCCTTGACAGCTAATGTTTCCTTCCTCTGTGCTGCTCTTAGGGAATTGTTAGAATCAATTAGATTTAGGTTGAAAACTCCCTAGAAGATATTCCAGTTGCTAAAACCAGTAGCTGGATGAATGCACAGATACTGCAGAGCTGTGTAGATAAATGGGAATTCCTGTCAGATTCCTGTCAATTGTCTCAGAATGGTGCTAGAGCAAAGGTTGAAGCTGTTGCACGTGTGCTTGTTTGAGCTGGACTACCACTAGTGAGACTGGCATTAGGACTCCAGTACAAACCTAGAAGTAAAATCTCATGTCTACTTATTCTTCTATGTAGTGTCTCTTCTTGCAGTCAAAACAGAACCCATGAACAACAGTGAAACAGCAACAACAACTGGAGATGCATCGCTTGACACTTTTACTGGGTCAGGTAAAGCCATAATTAAATGATGTTTTGTTAGATGTACATTAATGCAGCATTTAATAACCCTCATTAATGAACATTTGCATGGAAGCAATCTTTACAAAGCTACTGCAAAATATTATTGTACTTTATGAATAATAATAATAATATAATTATTATAATAGAATAAAATTATAATAATAATGATAGAAATAATAATAGCTTTTTCATTTTTGTAAATGAAACTCAGCAATTTATGTGAGGTGTGATCTTAAAGAATGCCCAATAATGATGCCTAAGACCACTGATGTTTGCAAAAGTCTCAAAATAATACTGTTATTATGGTACTGTCTTTTTTCTCAGCTTTTTTCACTCTTGTATGATATTAAAAAAAAAGAGATTGTATTTGTAACAGCCATGCTAATTAAATTTATTTAATTCAAATATTGAAGTTTATACCTTGGTGCTAATCTTTTTACTGCTACTAGCAGTGTGTTAGTTTAAACACTGACCAGATTGTCCTGTTAGTCTCTTTCCACTGGGATGAGCTACTTTCCTCCCAAGAAAATAGTTTTAATTTAAATAATCACAGGCTTCAATTACTTCTCAAAAAATTCAAGGAGTGGCTTAAGCAGATCCTTATAAATTATTAAAATGTGATGAACTGTGGAAAAGTACAGGCAATCAGCCTTCTAATCAATAAGTAGAATCCTGCTAATAAATATATTAAAAAGGAGAGTAGGGAGAATAAATTTTGCATTGGAAATACCAGTTCAGTGTCCTGACTGAAATGTCACCAAAGCCACGAATCACCACTCCACACTGATGCTACTATTACCTTGGTAGATTTAGGTACTCAAGCCCTATTTAAAATATTTTGGAAATCACAATGTTTCTGTGTAATTAATTTCTTTTTAATCGGGTTTTGGAATTGTCTTTTAGCCATCAGTTAAACCCAAAAATTGGTTATTCAGGAAAGTATTTATAACTAATTTATTGCCCGAAGAAAAGGTATTTTGTGAGATTTAAAGCATTTAATATTTCTGATTATAAAAATGAAAATATTGTTCTCATTATAATTATACTAAGAGGAACCCTCAGCTTAAAGGCTAAAAAGTCCATAAAACATTAAACAGTCTGGGCTAATATTTAGCTTTTCTTTTTCTCTCTGTTTTTACTCAGTGCTAAGATTGTATTAGTAATGATTACAAATCATAGAATATCCAACTATATATATGATTTTTTCATTGTTGGTGAAATTTTATCAGCTTCTGCCATTGCATTTAAGGCAGCTGAGTTGTATTCTATAGCTAAGGCAACATTGGAGTGCCAAGAATTGCAGCCTTCAGCTCAGGTTTAGATAGCTAAGTAACAGCTTGATTTCCCCAGGTGCCACTTACCCATCAGCTTCCACTGACTTCAAAAGAAGTCTTGAGATCTCTACACTTCGGATGTTTGGAAAGTTGGTGCCTCAAAAAAAAAAAAAAAAAAAGTTAAAAAAAAAAAAGGCAGGAATTTGAGCCTTGCATAATCCTTTTTTGCCTGTTAGCCACCTGCGTACTCAAAAGAAATACGAACCTGATTCTCAGTTTAGTGCACAAACTCAAGCATTAAATGAGTACAGTCCTTCTCAGTGGGAGATCAATAGCCTGGCTGTCTGGGTGACGTGCAGTCTTCATCATCAGAGCGAGACACAGAACTGCCCTGATAGCACATTCAGGCTTTCAGAAAGATTCAATATGTTGCTTTTGCTCTTGCCTTTTACTTGTGCTCCCAAATCAGACAATTTTTTTTGCTCTAATTTTATGGTAGAAGTGCTAAAGAGCAGTAAAAATTCAGCAAAACCAGGATTTCTCTATTTAGCCTAACTAGTTAGTTGGGAGGTTTAGTGGGCTGCCAAAGACAGTAAATACTGAGTAGTAAACAGATGTCATTTCAAATGAGCCACCTGTGACTGAAAAAATGAGTAACAAAACCCAACACTGAACAGTTTGTTTTTTCCTGAAAATGAGGGAAATATATGTGTTAATCCCAACTATGGCAAAGTCACGATGCCAGCACTTCTCTCTATTTTATGAAATGAGACATGGGTGAAAAAAGAACTCCTGGTGCTGAGACGCATTTGAGAGTCTGCCATGCAGAAATCCTGTCTTCTACCCATTAAAATTGATTTCCCTGCTCCAAGGGCAGTCAAAACACGTGGCCTGTCCTGGAACTGAGCAGAAGGCTCAACAAGCCCTGTGAGGTATAAAGTAGTCATCTCTGTCCCTAATGACCAGCTGTAAGTGATGGTGAAACAGATTGTGCGAGGTATAGGGCAGGAGAGACAGATTGGACTTCACAGAAAACTGTGATTCTGGGAACAGTTGATTGAAAATCTGAAAAGATAGAAGCGCATAGATCTCTTGAATTTAGGGTGTCAATTCCCCTGGAGGCCTTGCCCTGGCTACTGGGATTGGCGAGTCCTGTTGAGGGCTGCAGGCCATGTGTTACAGCTCATGCTCAGGTTCCCCCGCGCTGCAGAGCTGCCCCAGGAGAGCCTGTGCCTCTGGGCATGGGTTAGCCAGGTGAGGAGTCACATTGTGCACCCCCCCTTCCTCCTCCTCCTCCTCCTCCTCCTTCTTCAAAGGGGAGCAGTCGGTAATTTGGTAATTTGTGTCCGCAGTTCCGTGGTTCTGCAGCACATTCCCATTGTGGGGGCACTCACAGCACTGGGAAAGGTGCAACTGAGATTTTCATGCACTGTGAACTTGTTGCAGCTGCTGTACTGCAATACTGTGTATATATTGCTTACAGTAGTGGCTTAATTTGGGAATTGTTTTATCATTTTAGTGGAGTGGAGAGAGAGGTATTTGAGGTTCTCATTGTTTTTGCTTAGTGTTTATTACACACAGGACATAGAATACAGTTTATAGATATAGAAAACAATTTCTGAAGGCTGTAAAGGTGAAATTAGGGAATGTCGCTGCTATTTAACCTACATTTGGTTCCATTGTGCATAGAGATTGTGATGTTACTTAAATGATGTCCTTTTAACCTAATCTTTTTGCACAGAATTTTCCAGATGTGTAATGAAAAAATACAAAACTCCAGCCCGTATTAATGTGCTGAACCCAACACATGCTATTAAAACAGTTAATGGTCATTTAAATCCTCCACAACCACTTTGGCCAGTTGAACTAAGAGTAACTGGTAAGAGCTAGCTGTCAGCTTGCCCCCTCTGTGAAACAACGTTAATGGGGGCTGGAGAGATCAAGGGTCTTATACCTGCCCCGAAGGGCATTCCTCTGGTAATTTCAAGTAGTGGAGTGTTGGGAACATTTGAGTTTTTCAGAGAATAAACAATTCTGGATTTTTTTTTTAACATGAGCAACACAAAAGAGCATTTAGCCCTCTTCATATAGTGCCTATATAAAGCACCACAAAACCCACAGCAACCTGCCCCTACCATCTCCTCCAGTGCCAGCAGTCCTCAGAGAAGGGAGATGTTAGGAGGCTATCCAGCAGCCACAGCTGTTGAAGTTTGATAACTCTTAGAATTAGCAGTTTCATCAATGAGATACAGGTGTGGTCCACAGGCACCACTCAGTCATAATGTTCTCTTATGATACATTAATATTGTGCCATAATATTGTATGATATATGATTGTATTACATAATATATATTATAATGTAATTAAATTATATAACGTAATATTCTCTTACAACCGTGTTTCCTCAAAGATCTCACAGTCTAAAATGTAGTGGACAAATTGTAGGGAAAAGCTATAGAGAAACAGTGAAAAGAACAGATTTTTTAGTCTTGCCTCTTTCTCTTCCTGGCAACTGGTAGTATCATCAGGGAAAATCAGGGATAAAACCAAGGAAATTTAAAACCAGACACATTCCAAAAGTATTTTATCTTCTTATCTGAATTTTAAAAAGAAGGTATATGCAGAAAGAATGAAAAGCCAAGCAGGACAGTTTTTGCTGAAAAGTATTAGGTTTTGATAGCTCAAGTGATTTAAATAAATAGTAATTAATTTTTTTGCAGTTTACGTAACGTGGAGTGGCATGGTAAATGTGTTTTAACCAAATTGATTAATTGATTGAGCTCTCATCCAGCAAATGATGAGACAAAAAGTGAAGCAGTATGGCAAAAATGATCCGATAAGCCGATAATGGATCACTAAAGTTCCTTCCCCTGAGAACCGCCAAGGTCACTCTGCTGCTATTGCTTGTCTTTAGAAAGGTCACAGAGCTACAACAGGGAAGACTAATTACTCATCAAGCCTTAAATAACCAAGAGCATTCTTTAGAGTTCTATGAAACAGTTACGTTGATAGAAACAGCCATAGGTTTGTCTGACTCTGGGAATAGCTGCCTGCACATGTAGCAGACTGCTCTGTGGGTTGAGCCTAAACCACAGAAAGGCATTCTCAAAAAAACCCACAGAAACAGTATCCACACAAAATGAAATTTAGCAGATTTCCATCACAGGCAAACCCTCCATATCTTTTCAAACAGCAACTCTTTTATGAAATCTAATGGCACATGTTTTAAAAGTTATTAGCCAATTCTTCTTTACTTTCAAGCCGTACTTAACTGCACATTTTAGAAAGAAGTTAATTGTTTTTCTTCTACTGTATTTTCCTTTTAAGTCATACACATTCTAAATGCATTTAAACCATCTTTAAAATTATGAAGTTCTGTGTATGTTCAAAGCAATAGATCTGAGAGACGTTAATTAGGGCTGGATGTAGAAATGTATCATGTTTCATAAAATAGTTAGGAACATAAACCTATTTGTCACTTATAAAATTCTGAATGTTCATTTCTACTACCATTATGAATAACTCAGGAAGAGGGTAGACTTTGAAGTACAACTATGATTGATTAGACTAAAGAAATTCCAGTGCTTCATTGTGTACTACTTTAATCTTTTGAAAAGTGAATGAACAGCAGATGGCCTAATAAAGACACTCTGTATGTTTGCCCGGTATGGATTTGCTCTGAAGGGATTGGTTCAACACTTTAGAGTACATATATTTGGAATACATCTGTCTTAGTCAAGACAGATGGCTAAAGGAAAGGGAAACTTCCAAACACTTGGAATTAATCCAGTGTGAGCACTGCTTCTGGATGAAATTTTAATGGGTTATGACTATTATTCTGTTAGCTTTCTTGGAAGAATGCAGCTGTAAATAGTATAGAAACACACAATTTGGATGGCTACTGAACAGGACTGTCTATGCATACTTTAAAATAAAAATGGTGTTGTTAGGAGTTATGTTCTTATTGGCCTGTTTATAAAGAATGGTAGTTGCTTTCCAGTGCTCAATCCAGTATCTTCCATCACCTAAGCTAACTAAAAATAGTTACAACCATATAAAACATGCTTTTCCTATCCAGTATTAAAATTGAACTTCTTGTTAATGTGAGACTATAAAGGTATATATATGTTATTTCAATCCCATGAAATATGTTATATCACAAGATTATTTTTAACTGCTCCTTTTAGTACAACTTGCAAATTTGAAAAATCAACAGTGTGTGGAGCACAGGTGATGTATGAAATACATGCGTCTGCAGTATACTCAGAAATGTGTTAGTGAAGTTGAGAAAACGTGGCACACCCATGCTAAAGAGTTCTGCACAACAGTGAAAGATTGGGGATTTTTCTAATTCTTTTTTAAGATGTTGCAGTTGTGGTGACATCTGCTTCCTCGAAAAGCTGTCCATTTCAATGGGTTTCTCTGTTAATGTTGCTTTAGTTCACACTGTGTGGCTGTGCAGGTCTCATGGTGTTTCTAACTGCTGTACTCTTGTTTTCTGTTTTGCAGTAATAACAAGTAGTGGCTACAGTCCCAGATCAGCGCACCAGTACTCTCCACAGATATATCCCTCCAAGTTAGTGTCTGCACCTCTTCTAGTCTTTTATAGACCTTGGCTGTGGGCAGTTTTGTGGTTTGTTGCAAACAAGTGTTCAGCAGGAGAAACAGAGAAAAAGGAAAATTCTTAAGCCACGGTACTGACTCCGGTACTGGCTCCCTCTCCAACTTTTTTTTCCTCGTGTGTCTACAGAGTAAGATCCTGCTTTGTGCAGTATTGCTGCACAAGAAATACCCTTGAATATCAGCGTGCACAACAGAAGTAAAATAATCAGACTATTGCATTCTCAGACATCAGCATATTAACAACATGTGTGGGGAATATGTACAGATATATTTTGAAGAAGTCGGTTTATATATAGAAATCACAATTGCATGCACAAGTTGCATACTGGGGGGGTAACCCTGTCCCTGACCCTTCCACAACCAGCATTGCCAAATGCTTCCAAACATTCCACAATCATGAAATACCCTTTCCTTGTCCCTCTCCAATATCATAAGATTTAAAAATCAAATAAATTGGATTAGCTTTTAATCTTATTATTTTTAAGTCAACGGATGTTGTTAGAAATAGAAAATTTCTTTGTGCTTTTTTCTTTGGTGGGGGGGAAACTGAACTTTTGGGCAATCATGCAAATCCAAGAGCGGGAACTTTAGGAAGAAACACCAAATATATTGTATGGAACTGCTGCAGTTGATAGTATATTAATTTTCTTGTCCTATGATCAGTATTGTGCGCAGGGTTCTTGATTCCAGTATGCCATCTGTTTGTTTCTATTCATTTGATACAGCTATCAGTGTGACTTTGGTACAGAGAAAACATTGAATCTAAAGATTCGAGAGCCAATTAGGCTTTTTCAAGTTGTTTTTTTTACAAATTTGCATTCATATGATGGTAGCCAAAGTTTATTAATACAGAAAGTAGGTGCCTGAAGTAAGAGCCCTCCTTTCACTTAAAACAGGTTTTGGCAAAGTATTTTAGACACTTTTGGCCAAATACATTACAAGGTTTAATAGAATTTTTAATCTACTGTTACAATTTTTTGGCATCTAAGTTAATGAGTAATCCTTTTCTGATAGTAAATGCTGCCAACTGTACTGAATTAATTAGAAAGAAAAAAAAAATTAAAATTGGAATCTGAAATTTAGTCATGGCTTTTAATGGCCAGGTTTCAGTTAGCGTAATTCTGCAGAGTGTGTTTATTCAACTCTTGGTCCATAAAGTCTTATTTGACTTACAAAACAATCCAAGAAAAATGTTTCTCTGTATATTTTTGCAACTCTGGAGGGCAAAAAATTTAAACTTGATTTTATTCAATCTCTCTATAAAACCTCAGTATTCATAAATAAAAGACCATTTTTATTTCCATTCTATTTTCCTAGCCCATATTTTCCGAACATTTAAAGCCCATCTGGTTACCAAAGTATTACTGTCAGTATGTTTTATGCTGCTCTCAATGGGTAGGATCCATCTCCCATTGAAGCTAGAGGCTACATGTCTGTTGAAGCAGAACCTGCACAGATGACATAATGTACTAGCTTCAACATTCACCTCTGTGTTTCCTCTATTCTTCTAGTCCAAGTTTCCCTCCACTGGATCAAAAAAGTGTGGGCGTTTTCTAATAGAAGCATTCTGATCTCGTCTGAAAGAGATTAAATCCATATAAAGACATGCAACAGTGGCACAGCCCACCTAAAAGTGGACACAGTAGCTTAAGAATTAAATTATAGTGATGGGACAGTGTAAAATATTCACTGTGCCCTGGGGAATGTGGGACAGAGTGTCTTTCAGCTTATTTCAGTGGGGGATGGAATAAATCCCAGAAGAGGAGCAGTTGGCAAAATAATGAACTGTCTTTGGACATCTTTAAACCTTTTTCTTTACTTTATTGCTTGAATCAACATACAAAGTATTTGTTGCCACAGTAATGCTGTTTTTCCTGATATTTAGGCCCTATCCGCACATTCTTTCTACACCAGCAGCTCAAACAATGTCTGCCTATGCCGGACAAGCCCAGTATTCAGGAATGCAGCAACCAGCGGTCTACACAGCCTATTCACAGACAGGACAACCCTACAGCTTACCCACTTACGGTATTTGACCACTTATCACTTCACTTTGCCTAGAACTTAAAGCTATTCCTACTGGAATGTTGCTTTTTTTTTTTTTTTTTTTTTTTTTTTTTTTTGCTTTCTCTTTTGTTTTCCCAACCGCAACAAAATATTTTAAAGAATCAGTTGAAAATTAATTTCTTATACAGATTTGGGTGTAATGTTGCCAGGCATCAAGACGGAAAGTGGGCTCTCGCAGACCCAATCTCCACTGCAGAGCGGGTGCCTCAGTTACAGCCCAGGGTTTTCCACCCCACAGCCAGGCCAAACTCCCTACTCTTACCAGATGCCAGGTGAGTAGCCACCTCTGATATTTAAAGCTGAGTATTTCTTCCCGGTGCTAATAAGCATATGTGTATTCATTTTGATCACCTGTTACTTTAGATCTCGTCGTGGAATGCAGTCCCTCCTTGCACCTTCTTTTAGATTTTTTAGTGGAGTGAAATCCACTTTTTTAGTGGCAGGACTGGAAGCACTTGTTATATTTACTAATATATACAAGTCTCTTTTCCTTCTTTCTATGTTCCTGAGTAGGACATAATTTGATACTTGTTTCTCCTTGGATTAACATATTTTTTAGAATTCCTCCTTAATTGATACTTATTCTTTCATTTACTATTCAGTTACTGATTTCATTGATAACCCTCTGGTCACTGATAACCTATTTTATTTGAATAATTTTTAAGCTTCTTATACAATGGTTAATCTTCTGCATATGACAAACCGCAATATGAATCATCTGATTTATGTTAAAAACAAGGACATGCCTCATTACAGATTGAATAATAACACCCGGATGTGTCCTTTGAAAAGGTTTTTGTTTCACAAATCTAATGCTAAAGTAATTTCTTCCAAAGTTTCATTTCAATGTTTTATATTTCTAATGGAAAATAAAAGTTGTTTTTTTGTTTCGATTCATCTACATCTTAACATGGAATATTCTAATCAGAATTTTATTTTGATTCACAAACAAGTTCTCACAGTTAATTGTATTTCTTAATTTTAGGTTCTAGTTTCACACCATCATCCACTATTTATTCAAACAATTCTGTTTCAAATTCTACAAACTTCAGTAGTTCACAGCAGGTATGAATATTACAATTTCTATTTGCCGCTTACAAAAGGACTTACATAACTCCAGAGATAGCATGTTATTTTAATTTAGATCTGCTATGTTGAATGAGACTCACTGTGGTTTAATGCTGTTTTCTGTGGAAAATTATCAAAATCTTACTGGAAGCCTAGTTACATATTTTAGCACTTAAATATTTCAGCAGCTTCCCTGTAGTATTTTAGTAAATATCTTTCAATTAAAAAAACCACCAAAGATTCTTAAATTTAAAAGAAAAGCTAAACCGAGCCTTCAAAACACCAGCAAAAGTCATATGTCTGTACACTTAGAAATATTTAATGGGAAAAAATTCACTCATTACTGTATTTAATTGAGTGCTCTTCTGCATCTACTGTTTCAGGATTATTCGTCATACACAGCTTTTGGTCAAAATCAGTATGCACAGTATTACTCAGCATCAACATATGGTGCATATATGACCTCAAACAACACAGCTGATGGCACTTCATCATCATCAACCTACCAATTACAGGACTCTCTCCCTGGCTTGACTAGTCAACCAGGTACAGATCTACATTCAGGTGAAAACAATTTTTGTATTTTATTCCCTGTTTGTATAAAGACAAGATTTCCATATTCAGCTTGCACGGATATTGATATTTTAAGTTCATGCCTTTCAGAAAACTTTGTCATGTAAACCACCCAAAATAAGCTTTTTTACTGTTTAGTTAGGAAACCTGTCCAGTTTGTTTGCTAATTAAAGAAAGCTTTTTGCAGACTGAGATGGTTGGCAGTGGAACAGCGCTGTTTCCACCTACACGTTCTGAAGTATTGCTGCAAAGAATTTAAAACAAGATACTATTTTTCATTGAATTATGTCTCAACCATGCTTGCTTTATTCAAATGTGTACAAGTCATGCTTGCTAACTCACTAACTTAAGTAACTGAGAATAGAGAAATTAGTTATTAGCACTGTAAAAAAAATTGTATTGGAGTACTTGAATTTGCAAGAAGAGCATTATCAGGAGACACAAGGAGGCTCCCTTTGCCTGCCCAGCCCTGCCCTCTTGTGCACAGCCACCACAGCACAGTAGCCTGCTACTTGTATTCCTAGGACGTCCCTGGAGGGTAGTGGCAGTTCTCCTTTTTGCTTCACCACTCTTAGAGCAGTCTCTTTCAGGGACACCAGCTTCACTCAGCCAGCATGGGCAGTGTCTGCTGTGCCCACAGACTGTGAGCATTTCTAAAAAGACTAACAAACTGGCTTTTGGATTAGGCTCTGAATAGGGGAGGAGTTTATGCTTTAGTCACAAAATCACCTTATTGCATAAATCTTCCTAACAACTGTACCACCTTATTGAAAACTACAGTAGAAAAACTACTGTATTATTGTAATGAATTTATAAAAAGAAAAGTAGCACTGTGTAGGAAAGTATAAGGGCTCACATATAGTATATACAGCTTCAATTTGCTAAAAATACTGGAATTTTAACTAAATTAGTTGAAAATTTTCCTACCCAGATGTTTTCCTCAGGCTGATTGTTAAAGTGTAACAGTGCACGTGTTTGTGGTTGTATGTTTGGGGTGGGGTATGGTGTGGTATGGATATGGATATGGATATGGATATGGATATGGATATGGATATGGATATGGTATGGAAGGGTGATGGGGAGATACATATTCCATTGATTCTTGGTGAAAAGTTATTCAGTAGCCTCAGAATAAAAATCTAAGAAGAACCTAAAGGTAATATGAAATTTCAACAGGTGGAGGATATCCATAACAGACTCAAATCATATGTAAAGAATTTTTGAAAGAGTGTGGAGTTTACTCACAAGTTGCAAGTTATGTTTTGATAACTGTGTATGTCCTGTGTACTTTCACATGCTGCTTTGTTATCTTATTTGAGAAAATCAGTTTCCCATGTTGTTTCTCCCCTAGGTATCTGTTTCCTAGAAATGCTGTGTAAATGTATCATGTATTATTACAAGTATCATTAGTATTGAATAGATTTGGCAAAAAAAGGGAATCTGAAATAGTTTGAACATGTTGAAAAAGTATTGAAAGCTTCACATCTGTGAAACAGTAAAGATTTTTCTTGCTTGTGGATTGTTTAAGCATATGAACTTGTTCTCTTGTTAAGTAGGTTGTGCATCGGAGTTTAACAAATCCACCCCCATCTGCTCCTTATTTCTGTGAAGTGTTGCAGTGATCATGCGACCCTCCACTGAGAGTGAAACGCCCACTTTGTGAATGCATGACATGCCTGTGCCCTTCTGTGTCACAGTAAAAATAAATTTCCATTGGTGAGGGGCCATGTCTTGGAGATAATTTCAGATATCGTAGATCATACTGCAGTTCTTTAGCACTCACTGTGTTCATTTGCTGTCAAACAAGTCCTTAAGATTTACTCCAACAAAAAACTGAGACTAAACAGCAAGGCACTTCTTTTTTCTGTAATCTCTACTAGCTGTTAATTGAAATATCTAATCAAAGCCTCTAGTACTATCTGCACACACAAGATTTCTCATTTTCATAATAAAGTCCCATCAGATCAAGAGTAAATATTAGCTGCAATTTTATTTATTGACTGTATAAAGAAAATGAGATGAAAATTGAAATAGGCTTTTTCTAGTATTCATGACAAGGAGTAACACACTACAAGTCAGAAAAAAAAGCAGGCTTGTAATGCTGAAGCTCTCTTCTGGCTGCTCTGTCTGGTAAAGATATGTAACAAAAGTCAATCCATAAGGAAAGTATGAAGAGGCTCAGAAATTCATCCATTCCACATCTGTGTAATGCTCAGTTCCTTAAACTAGGGACTTCTCTTCTGAACTTGCATTGAACCTGCCTTATATTAAGATTTTTCAAAATGCACTCATTACCACAGAGTATTTCTGAGATAAATAGGTGTCTCCTAGGGCACTATCATCTCAAATAGGGATAACTCAGATGGACTGGGAGGTGAGGTCTCAGGAGATAAGTATACTTGAGTATATTTGATGAACACATGAGTACATTTAATCTGGGGCAAATAAAACTCCACCAGACAATATAGGCCTGGATAAAAGTTTCATGTGAAGGCACCTTGCTATCATATATCCAGGGTTAGGGGAGGCAAATCACCATAGGATATTAGCTCCCATTCTATTACTGGGATGCAGCAAAGTTTAATTTGGTACCCACAATGACGTCACCCTTTGCAGCTTCTCTGGGAGATGGCATTAGGTTTATATTCAGACTGCACAAACTCTTTTTTTCCTTCTTAAGTCATAGAACTGTGTTTTACCAAGAGGTGGGAAACAATATCCTGGATATGAAAGACTACCTCCATTTGTAATGTGGTGCTGTAATTCCCTTTGTGAATTGGTGCTGTAATTCCCTGTCCTCTAACTGGAGCTGCTGCAAGGTCTCCACAGCATGAAAAGCTTCATATTGGATAAGTGTATGAGTATGTGTAAGAACGTCTGTGATAAAGAGCTCATTCCATATTCTGGTTTTAACATTTTCCTCCTATTTTCTTGGGTCTCTGGCACTGTTCACAGTCCCAATGGGAAGAAGCTGTGAGGTATATTTATTAGGCATGTGTTGAATATTGAAAAAGCTAAAAAATTTCAAACATTGTAATAAAAATTTCTGTCTGTTATGAGCTGCAGTAGGAGCTCTTCATGATGGTAATGTTTTCAATATTCTTTGGTACTAGAATTTCTCACATTCTTTTATGTTACAGGGCTGAATTTTTAATAAGTTTTCATTTTGTCAGCATTGACCTCATTTCTGAACCAAACAGAGGATAAGAAAAGTGCAGTTTCTCCTTTAGACTGCTGTAGGTAAAAAGCAAATGAAGCAATTAAGCCTACAGTTGTTTAAAAAAACGAGCACCACTGACTTCTGCAGTTCTAAAATAGATGCATACCTTGCATTCAAGTAAGAGACAGCTGCTCATTCTGATTTAGAGATTAGTGTAATGAAATAAAGTTGGCTTTAAATATCTAGGTTTTACAAGGAACAGCGATTAGTTACAGTACTGATTAATAGATAATTATGCAATCATGTACCCAAGAAGAAGCCTAGAGCAACTGGTAATGGCTAATGCTAAATGAAAATTGGAGTTATTTACCTCAGTTGTTGGGTAGTTTCAAAGAAGGTTTAGAACAAGGTTTTTTAAAATATTTTATTTTTGGTAGATTAGAATAAACACAGTCATTGAGAACAGATGTTTTAATACATTACTGTGGCAATGAGTCTTGATTTTGTTGTAATGTGTTGAAGTGTTATAAATAAGAAGAGCTTTGTGGTAAGAATGTAAACATTGATCTTCACTTTTTTAGTTTCTGCCTTTTCTTTCTGGCAATTTGGTTTGGGACAATTTTTCCACTCCACCAGGAAAATCTAGGAAACTATTTTTGCACTGAGCTCTTGCACACTCAGAACTTACTTTAAAGCCTTTGTAGGTTTTTGCTGTGCAAGGATTCTGATTTAGATGCTTCTTGTACATTTGTAATTACCCAAGTACATTTTGCTGTTCTTACGGGGAAAGAACCAAGATAATGTGATCCTTATTGATTGCTTCACTGCCTGCTGTGACCTTGCTGACATCAACACCATGCTGGGAATAGAAATGATTAGTCAACATGAACTGTCTCTCTCCCCATTCTGTAGGGATTTCTGCCTGTATATCTTGTCCTTTCTCTGCATATCTCTGTGAAAAGTCACTTAGCCTCTTTTACTACATGCTCAGCCCCCTTAGCTGTCATGGTGACCCTCACCTGGACTGACTCCAGTTTGACAATATCTTTCTTTTACTTGGGGACCCAAAACTGTGCATTTTTCCAGATGTGGTCTTGCAAGTTCAGAACAGAGCAGAAAAATCCATCTCCTTCATCTTCTGGACACTTGGTGATGTTCTTTAGTAAAAAAGGAAAAAAAAAATCAGATTCCAACTCAAAATCAGCTGCATCATAGATGATTTTTGGAAAATGTTTTTATCAAGTGTTAATTTATTCTGCTTATTTGCCATCATGAGCACTTTTAACAAATATTACCCGTGGCCCAGAAATGCACAATTACAGACAACTCAAGGACTCTCTTGAATCAAAAGCTGTAGTAGATGTCAGATCAAAGCTGTACCCTTTCCTCCATTACTGGAGAAAAAAATCAAATCATTATTAATAGGATAAATGAAAAAGGAGGATTTTTTTTGTAATTTAGCACTCAGGAACCTAGCCAAACTGCATTTATTGCTAGAAGTTTTGAAAGCTGAAGATGCTAAGCTTCATTAAATGGGTAAGTCAGGGTTGGCCTTGAGTGTGGTTAAGACCAGCCATGCCATACCAGATCAAAGGCCCTTCCAGCACATCTCTGTGACAGCCCATAATGCCTCATACTTAAAGAAAGATGATCAGAATATAGCAAGTACAGCTTCTTCCTCTTTCAGGTACTAACTGGAATATTGCATTTAATATTATGGCTTTCCTCTGACAATTTATGAGCTGAGGTATGGTGAAGAAAAAAAGTGAACTTTGCTAAAGAGCAGGTGACATGGGAGGAGGGCATGAAGCTGGAAGCTGCCTAACTTCTCTGGATCATGGATGAGTGCCAAAGTGTGTTCTGGTAAAAGTAAAGCAGGACTTGGAAATAAGTCAGCTGAACTGAAAACATGGGAAGTTAACTAATTAAAAGTACTTCATGTTTTGAAAAACCATTAGTATGACTTCTAAAATACACCTTTCTATATTTATATTTTGCCTGGGTTTGTGTGTATTTGTGTATATGCACATGTATATTTATATTTAAATTTTTGTCTTATTCTGCGAAGGTTTATAGGGTTTCATTGATAAAGTCAAAAGTGTGTGTGGCATCTACTGATCCATCTATGTAAGACAAGCCACATTATCATTCTTTTTATACAACATTTTTTACATGTCTCTCGTTGTTGGGTTTGCATACAGACATGTTGAACTTTGAGGGAAAAAAGTTAATTATTTAAAAATCCAGCACTAATTTTGACATGAATGGTTGACTCTACAGGGGAGTTTGACACAGTACAGAGCCCCTCCACGCCAATCAAAGATCTTGATGAGAGAACATGTAGGAGTTCTGGGTCAAAGTCTCGGGGTAGAGGGCGGAAGAATAATCCATCACCCCCTCCAGACAGTGACTTGGAGGTATGTCTATGGTAATTGATGAATGTTAATGTGGAGGTTTCTTCTGATGAAGTGTAAATTCTGAATACTGCAGCTGTGAAAATAGCTTAAAGTATTTTAGAAGATGTCATGGACTCAGTCTTACTAACTGAATGTAACAGAGAGCAGTAGCTGTTTTAATCTACATGTACAATGAGACTTGACTGTTCTGCATTTCATGTCTGTCAGTTTCTCGTGCAATAGAACCACAAATCTGTACTCAAAAGTGTCACATTTTCTTTTAGTTTTTGAAATAGGAAGTCTCAAATATGTCACTCATCTCAATTACATGTATTTAGGCATGCACTGTAAATATGCAGGATCATCTGGCCTAGCCTTTTGAATATTTAGGCGCCAGTTTGTGTTTGTGCTGGTAAATGATATCAGTGGATTCCAATGAGGCAGCTTACCTCAGTGGAGTTCTGGCTGTGCTTAAGCATGTGCAAGATCAGTGCCTTAGCAAACAAATACATCTGCCTGATACGTGGGATGACAATTTCAAGCACAGGTGACTTTTAACAACAGAGTCATTGCAGTCGTGTCACCTTGCAGTGGCAGGAGCAGGAAGAAGCAGAGTGCCTCTGTGTGTGTGTCTGTGTGTGTGACACTCCAGCTGTGGCATCAGGGACGTGTGTGCTGCCTGCCAGTCCCCTGCTGCCACCAGTGCCACCAGAGCAGCTCAGAGAGCCTGCAGCCCTGGCCTGCCCCACTGCCCTGCCTTTACTTACCAGCCCTGGGTACAGGAAAAGACAAAATTGTTGCTGGGCCTTGGCTGACTACATGGCCCCTCCTGTGTTAGCATCTGCTGGGTGGGCTGCAGGGCTAGGAACTGAGTGTGAATGCCATTGCTTTCGTACAGAAACGTGCATATTTTTTTTTTCCTTTTCAAAGGATTTAATTTTTCCAGTGAAGGAAATAACTTCTTACATTACAGGGTTTCTTTTGGTTGGTTGGGTTATTTTATTTATTATTTTTACCAGTGAAAACCAAAACGAGTGACATTGAATGAGTGAAACTGAGTTAAAATAATCTGTTTTATCCTACAGAATTATTTAAATTCTATATGGCATTGGCATATAGCACTTTTACCCAAGATATTTAGAAATAAAAAGAATTTTAAATTAGTAATACTTACAGAGAAGTATCTGAAAGTACTGTTTATCCTTAACAATTACGTTTGATCCCCCATCACATTTCTGAAATCTGAATTACAGAGCTTTTGTGAAAAGATTTTTAGAACACAAATAACAAAGAGTTGAAGAGGTAAAAAGTTACTGCCTTTTGACTTTTTACCGTGCATGATTCACTGTTATTGCTGATTTTCAGAGAAAACCTGCTCAGTTAATCAGTGCTTGGTGAAACTTTTAAGACTCAGCTGACTTTTATCCTCCCTGGGTGATGTTGTGGTGGGACTGTGATGTTATTTGTTCAATAATATTTTCCTCAATTCTGTTTTCAGCGTGTATTTGTTTGGGATTTGGATGAAACAATCATAGTTTTTCATTCGCTGCTTACAGGATCATATGCGCAGAAGTATGGCAAGGTATGTGAGCTGTGAATTTTGTGCCAATTCACTGAAGCTATCTGGCCTGACTATGTACTTGTTTTTCACCTCTGTGTTCCTTATGGCTCTTATGGGTGAAGTTAGAGGAAAAGTGTACAAGTAAACCCCATTTTCAGAGAGTTGATGTGGAGAAGCCAAGGAGAGAAACGAGACACAGACCCTAAATACAATACACGAGGCAGGGCTGAAGCAGATGCTGCAAATGAAAGGAGAATTTATAGAAGAACAAGGATGATGTTCCTAACATGTCTTGGAAGAGACATTGCAGGGAGATAGTAGATGAAGTGCACAAATGGAAATAACTGACAGTACAAGGAAGAGTAGAAGAAGAAAGAAGAAACTGTGCTGGTGGGTGAATTTACCAGGAAATTTATGAATAGGATGAGTAAGAAGTCTGAGTTATTTCAGTGCCAGCTGCAGATGTTGTTCTTTGACTCCCCACCTTTTCCACTGAATTTTTGGTTCCCTTGGCTGGCTCTGGGGTGAGTAATGTCAGGGAGTGAAACTCTCTCCCAAGTAGTTTTAGGCATCCTCTCCCCTCCAGTGAGTCCAAAAGGAGTTCAGGTCACAGAGCAGTGAGTGGGAGAGCAGGAAGAAGAGTGAGGGAGGCAAAGAGAGGCAGTGGCAGACTGCAGGAGCAGGAGCTCCAGGGCTGGTGCAGGGAGTCCAGGGAATGGCTGCTTGGACAAGGTGAGAAGGGTCTGGTGTGTAGCAACAGGAGCAGACTAATGGGAGAAGTAGAGCTAAAGGTCTGGATAAAACAAAAAATCAAAATGAATATGTGGAAGGAGGAAAATGGACAAAGGGGATGTCAGTATGTGCATATATAATTTTCTCTGTTCTGTGCTATTCAAGTGAAATTAATGCAAAGGCATTTCTTTTTAAGAACATAACCATGTCCATATTATCTTGGATAAGGGACTTGTTTAGCATGCTTTCATCATCTTTATTCCAGCCAGAATCAGATGATTAAGAAAAGTTTGTGAGAAATAGTACATTACAGAAATGTTTTTCACAACCCCCTCCCTACCAGTGGGTTAGAAATGTCCAAAGCCAGAAGCTGTGGATAATAACTACAGATGGACCAGTCTTCCATGCAATCAACCTTTCATGGTTATTAAAAAAGAAAGTTAACAGGAAAAGTCACAGGCCAAGTGAAAAATCTGAAATTCTGGAATGCTAAGATAAGGATAGGTACTCATGTCTTGTAAAAAATAGCTTTCCTTGCTTTGCAGTTTTACAGTGCCAGATCTGTGCACTTTTCAGTACTCTGTCAAAAAATCCTCTTCTGCCGTTTTTCAGACATTGTAACAACAGTGATTTTGTGAAAACCATTTCCAACTAATAGCAAAACGAGAGGGAAACCTAGCTGAACGTGAACTTTTGTATCACTTTGAGAGCAGCCCATATACTACCAGAGGACTTGCTGAATTGTCACAGTGATAAAGTTATTCCTTTCATTCTTTTTTGATTGTGCCCTTTGGATGTCTCCCAAATTAACTGTAACATATAGTTTTGAAAATCAGAGCACATTTTTGTAGCTCACAAAATAAGTGTGGATAACTTTGAAAACTGTCTTGGAAACAGCAACAGAAATGTAATTCTTCTTTGTATATTAATAATGGCATACTAACAGACAGTAGTACTGACAGCAGATAAAGTCTTATATAAACCAAAAGTGTCTCGAGGGTTAGTGAAATTAATGTGGTTATACTGCTGAGATCAACATCAGTAAACAAATGTCATGGACGACAATGAAGAAAAAGGTGTGGAATTCTTCTTTTATTTTTTTTGTTACTGATAGGTGACATCCACACAAGTAGGAAAAGGTATTCATTTCCAGACCCTGTAAAATAAAAGTGGTGGACTTTTTCCTTCCTGCAGTGACTGCCATTGCCATATTTACATAGAACTTGCGTGATGAGTTATTACCAGTGAAAGTCAAATATAAATATTGTTGACTGCAAGGAAGCTAGAGCAGTAGGAAAGGGAATACAGGAAGATCTTACAATGGGTAGGCTCTAGCTTTTGCATGTCATTGTAGTGTTGCCTAAATTTAAGGTGGGATGTGTCTCAGCCTAAGTGCCTAAGAGGCTAGAAATGGGGGGAGTGAAAGATCCCACAGATAGACTTTAGTCAGTCTCTGGTACATGACATGTTTAGCACATATGGTCCTTATCTTTTCTGCATATGATTTCCATCTGTGTACAAGGTCTTAATCCAGACTGAAGATTGGATTGTTATGAGAATTGGGTTGCTAAGAGAGTAAATGCTCTAAGAATTGTGAGGTTGTCAGAAGTCTTGTTAGCACATAGGTCTTCCAAAATTATTGAGAGAGCTGTTTGTCTTAAAAATTGTTGCCTAACATTGAAAAAAGAAACAGGGTAGTGTAAAATGGTGGAGATAGTAAATTATTTAACTGTGGTGATTTGTTGTCTGATTTTAAAAAGTAAAGCATCAGAAAAAAAATCAGAAAAAAATCAGAAATTAGTCTTAATCTCTCTGTTTTGTTGCAGTTCAGGCTGCACTGGGGTGCAGTGAGAGGAGGTGCAGCATATTAATGCCTGGCACAGGCATGTGAGTGCAGGAGCACTTGAGAGCTGCAGTTATATCCAGAAATAAACACTTTCCAAATATTTCTACGGTTTAGCAAGTAGAAGATAAAAAGGAAAGTCAAACCAGCATCTCCTTAGGCAAGGAGGGCTTTCATTGGAAGAGATTATTTGGAAGGCCTGGATCCAGTAGGCAAGTTTTTTGTCCAGAGAAGAGCAAATTTCTGACTTATACCTAAGGATTTATGAAGCTGAGAATGGACACTCTCCTTGCTATATACATGTTCAGTACTTTGCATGGTATGATAACTATTTGATATCAAAATTTTCTGGGATAATTATTGATATCAAAATTTTCTAATAACCATGTTAAAACAAAATTAGTGATTTGCTAAAGGATGCAGCTGTAAGCATCTCATTTAAAAATGGGACAAATTGCTACTGCTTATCTGGGCACCAGTAGAGTATAGCTTTAAACCTAACTGAACTGGGAGAGATTTGGCCAGAATTTGGCCAGTGTATCACTTCTACATTTAAAATATAAAGCTTTCCCAGAAGAATATTCCATGCATTGCTGTTTCTCTCTGGCTTTTGTTATATTGGTTATTCTACTGGGCTAACATAGAAAGAGAATAAAACCTACACTACACCTGTGTTAGGTTTCAGGGAAGCTGTGCTCCCTTCCAGCAGTAAGATCATCTCTCACTTTTCAGCTCATTTGCTCATCTGCATTGTACTTCATGAAACCAGTACAGTTCTATTTTTAATTACTTACTGCAGTAGCAAATTATGAGCATTGGTATTGGAGCTGTTATATTATGACTTGTGTGGATGATGATGGTTTTTGCAGCTGAGCACCAGTTGACAGATTCAGTTTTCTACAATGCTGAGCTCTTAAGTGAGCATTTGTTGATGTGACAGGACATGTGTTAGGAGATGTCATCATCTCTTAAAAGTTTATGAGGTACATTCTTAGTCCCTGTGAACAGTGTGTGTTCTTTGTTCCATTGCATTCCATGTATTCTTGCTGGTTGAAGGATGATTAAGCTGGAGTTTTGTCTAGCTCCAAGCGTTTATATTTCATTAATTTCTCCCAGATCAATCCAGAGGGCAAGGATTCCCAGATAAATGTTGTAACTCAAAGTGCAACTGTTTAAAAAAAGAATAAAATTCCTTTGTAAGCTTAGAAGACAGAGAATGTGATTTCCAAGTGCAAAAATCAAAACAAATCCGCCTTGATGATCGTATTTTGCCATTTTTTATAACATTGCACATGATAGAAGGTTGTCAGGGAAGCCTCATTAACTTTGTGCACTTCTCTGGGAAGGGCTCAGAAGCTTTTTACTGTTCACTGTCTGCTTGTATGATCATTAAACAGAAAAACTATGTCACCATTAACACCCATGATGACATTCCCAAATTCACTCATAAATATTCTCTTGTCCACCTGTATTAATAGTGTATCTCTCATCACCTCCAGTTGTCCTCTCCATTCACTCCCTCCTTGTCTGAGACCTCTGAGTTGATTTTCCTTCTGCCTTCTAGAGAGCGTGGAACAGAAACTCCCTATGGAGTACGTGAGTTTTCCTTCATCAGCCACCAGATATGGTTATTAAGAAGAGATGTGTTCTCTTCCTTCATTGCCACCCATATGAATTTCTCCCGGGACAAGTGTCCCCTATGAGAGAGTGAGGGCTGAACTTAAATCTGAGATCTCTACATAATATAGAGAAGTCTTTTTAGGCTAAAATATTGGTACTTAACTTGAGCATTTCCACTTTTTTCCCGAGGTCAGTTTTGTTTTAAGTCTGTTCAGGACGGCCACCCAGTGAAAATCACTTCTTAAAATTTTGCTTGTTTTCTTGCTTATTTTTAAGGCTTCATGCATGCAAATTCCTGTCACAATGAATCTACCTGACAGCCTATTTATCTCTCTGTTTTCCAAGGTTTTATTAAAGTCACTTGGTGTTTGCAGGTTTTTTCCCACGAAATGAAATAATTTTGAACATGTGCTGAAACCTGACATTCCAAGATAGTATTAAATAGATTTCTTCTACTAATGGACACTGAGCCTGTGGCTTTATTCCGGTTGCTCTCCTCTTGATCAAAACATTTAAGTATTGGTCCTCCTAGGATATTTTTATCTAGTCTCCCAGAAGACATTCCAATGGATGGACCAGTCTGGTACAGAAGTCCACAGACAGACAGTCTGGCTCCAGTTTAGTGCCTTCATCCTAACATAACTAAAGTAATTTGTATTTAGGTGTACAGAAGTGTTGTAGCTGGGCTTGATTCTTTTGCACACTAATGATATCTGGCTAACATCATACTTCTGCGGGCCAAAGAGTTGTTCTTTGTTCTGTGAATTATCTGGGGAAAACTTCCAGATTTTTTTTTAATCATTTTTTCCTCTATTGTGTGTGCTTGTGCAGAGCAGCACAAAATACAATTTTGCCCAAAGTTCAGTCTGCCTCTTACTAAGTTTTTCAATTTGCTCTGCTAAGATCTGTATCAACTGCAAGTTTTTTGCTTTCTTTTCAACACTCAGTCCTTTGTGCCACTTGAATCAGTCTGTAACTTCTGCTTCAGACTGAAAGACAGTTAAATTGTGATTGTCATGTTCCTCCATATTGTGCAAACACTATAAAACCCCAAGACCCTTAAAAATCTGCTTTCTTGTCTATTTTTGTATGTGAAGGAAAGAACTTAACATGGCAAGAGCTGGATGGAATGTGATATTTAATTATTGTTAAACAGTTGCAGTGCAAAGTTTTGGCCAATTTATTAAGGGGAGAATTGTTCGTATCTTGAGAATTCAATTCCAGCAATTCTCCCTAGCAGAAGGTGTTACAGGGAGACCCTATAGTGATTTTGTGCTAAGCTAAAATTAATTCCTTTGCTTTGCTTTATTTTATTTTACATACTGTACCTAGCAATAGCCTTCTCATGCCTTTATCAAAACGGGAATGTAGGAAATATAATTTTAATAGCAATAATCAGGCATAATTGGCTACAAAACTACTATTAGTAATAAAATCACAAGAGCTTTGTTACATTTGCATGTTTCAACTATACTAGGCAAGGCAGGAAATTGTCATATCTAGTTCATAGTTTCTGTAACAACAAATTGAATTATAATACAAAATGTTATAGGAAATTTCTGCATTTAAGTCTGCTTCTACCCAGGAAGGGCTAAAAAAGAGGCTGATAATTAAAAGTCTGAGATTCCAGTTTTGGAAGCACTCCAGTGAATAACTTACATACATAATAATGAGTTACCACCTGTGCATAAAATTCTGCACGTGCCTTAGTGTTCATAGGATTGAGGTAAAAAAGCGTACTGCACATTCCCTCTGCTATATTGTATCTAGGGAGAAAAGATCTGTAGTTTACAATGCACAGAAAAGCAAATGGAAGAGATGAACACGTGTTTGTATATGTGATGACATTTTGATAAAAGTGTTATGGCTTGATGAGGAATCTCATGAGTCCGGGGTATTTTGGTGATTTGTGTTCTCAGTGAGTTTTGCTAATCTGTTAATGGTGTTCCTTAATCATCCTCTTGGAAATCTGACCTTTGCACTTGGTGTTGCCTTCAGCCATGTGACTTTCAACTCCAGTGAACATTACTACAGAAGACAGAATGGAAAAAATTCTGTTGCTGGGTGCTGCATTTGTTTATTGCTTCTGAAGGGTAGTCTAGACCAGTTCTGGGGTCAGCATAAAAATACTTCCTTTCTGACAGAGAATTGGGTCTAATTTTGGATCGTTACAACTTCTTGAACACTATTCTCCTCTTCAAGTATGACTTTTTCATGAGAAAAAGTATGTCAGTGTTTCAGATTTTACCATTAGTTATTAAGTGCTTGAATGCAGAAGCCATTTTTTCTTTTGTCATTGCAAAGCCCTGGAGTAGTGAGTGTCTGATCCTGGTTGGGAAGCCTTTCATCCTAATGCTAACAAACGATCATTTGAGGCTTTGTGAGATTTTGTTGCTACATGCTGGTAAACATTTAGACTTTAAATCTCAAGGTATTTAAGAAGGAATTTCTGAAAACTTGCTCGTGTCAGTCATAGTTTAAATGATGAAGTATATATTTTTTTCATATTTTGATGATGTGTTTTAAAAGTCCACTGCAGTATGTTAAAGCATAAAAAAGTTAACGGAACCCCACAAGCTCAGGCAGGTGATTAAGGCAATAATCAAACTAATTACTGGGTGTCAGCAAAGCATCAGGGACCGTTACTCTAAACCAAATGCAAGGTAACACAAATCTGCTTTACCTCTCTCCTAGCAAACTTAGAGAAGTTGAATTAATTATCTTGCTTAGCTGTACGCTTAATGCTCTCAGTGTTATTGAAGATCAGTAGATTTGTGGTGTCTTGCTGAGGCAGAGCAATTTGATAGTGTGAAAGACGACCTACAAACAAATGCAACATTTTGAATGAATCTTTTCCAGGGACAGGATTCCTGTCTTTCATCAGCAATGAAGGGATGATCTGTAGCAAACAACAAATTTATGTATGCTTTCCACAGGAATGTATGTTCCTACATGCATCTTTTATGAAAAGTGCCATCCCTATTTCCAGTCTTCATTATGCTTGATTATGTTTATATTTATGTATATGTTCATGGCCACCAGGTTTTTTCCTGTCAGTTCAGCCAGATTGCAAATCGCTCAGCTTTTAAAAAATTGATATTTTAAACATCCACAGCTCTCTGAATTTTCTCACAAACAGAGGTTCAGCAGTGTCTTCTTACAGAATTGTATTAAAATCGCTTAATACTGAAAGGATTTCAGGGAAATTTCTTTCAGTGTTAATTTTTCAAAACACTTTATATGCACCAGTTTTTAAAGTAATTCTAATATAACTCAGAGGTATGTAATTAGCTAACCTTGTTTTTTGTTTTTTCAAGGATCCACCCATGGCAGTCACCCTTGGACTGAGAATGGAAGAAATGATTTTTAATCTTGCTGACACACATTTGTTTTTTAATGATTTAGAGGTAAGAGTAAAAGGAATGCTAGCACTGGTATTCCTGATTTTTAACTTAGTGGCTTTGTTGTGCATTAGTGTTTATTGTGAGTGACATTTATGCCTGTGTAGTTTTTGAGTTTGTCATACTCTAATCAGAGAGAGGTTAACCAGGTGTCACTGACTTCCAGTGGCACCAGAGTCCTTCTGTGAAACTCAGTGAGAGAGAGAATCTGCAAACTACCCACTCTTTTCTTTGTCCTGTAGCCATCTTTTTTGGTTTCCATGTATGTAATTCTGTCTGCTGTCATCTCCAGGATGGTAACATACATGCCTCATATTCTTGAAGTTCTCTATATTTCTCAGTGGGTGCCCTCATCTGGCCAGGAGAGACTGTTCTTCTCTTGACATACCTGAGCAGCATTTTGGCTACAGGCCCCTGTTACTTGTTCAAATGTAGAATATTCTTCATTTACCTCAAAGAATGCAGCATCAGAGAGCTGGGACTGTGATAGCTGTTCTGATCAGTGATGTGTCTTCCCAACCAGGCAGCCAACGTATTGTCAGAATGCACCCAGGGAATATAATTTGGCAATTGGTCATAAAAGGGAGAAATCTCTTCCTAGGAAGTGCCCTCTGTGGGCAGCTCACCTGTCACCTCTGTGGGCAGCACATGGGTGGACTCTCACAGGGACAGTGGTCTGGGAAGCAGGCTTGTCAGCTGGGCTTCACAGGCTTTTTATTTAACTCTTAGAGTCCAGGTCTCTTAACATGAACAATGACAGCCTACAACCATGTGTGTCAAGACATGGGGTGAAGAACAGTTTTGAAATTAACCTAGGGGCGTCTCAGACCTTCTGTTGTCTGAAACATTTGTTTTCCAACTCAGAGTAGATCCATTACTTCACTCCAAGGACAGATACTTGCCATGAGTGGGAGCTGAAAGACTTTGAGGTTATGTTTAGAGTCCCAGAGAAAGGTGTCTGGTGAGTGAACAGACAATATAAAGATAAGTGAAATTTTTCCATCCACTGAGATGTTGATTTTGTCTTTTGTTCCTTCGTCAAGTGGGCAGTAAGAAAAGCAGAAGGTACCAGTCTGCGATTGTCTTAGTCATCCCTTGCAGACCTCATTTATTCTTAGCTCTTTTTAAGTCAAGAAACTGAAATCTACTTCACCCCACACCTGAACTGCACTTCCTCCTTGCAGCAGCAGCAGAAACCTAAAAAAGTACAGCCCTGGAAATACCTTTCCCAGTGTGTGTTTTATTGCAGTCCTAGTGAGGCATCTCTTGACAATGCAAGTGCGTTCAGTTAATGTTTCCTTCTGGTGCCCTGGTGCCCAGGGAAAGATTCCAAACGAATTTTTTAAAGCATTTCCTAAATTTCTTTTTAGCCAACCCTTGCCCCTGCATGTTCAGATTTTATGTGGCATGAACGAAATATAAGCCATTCTGTAGAATCTGTTCTTCAATATTGTGCTAAGTTCAGGTGGAAGAGTTCAACAAAATGGAGCTTTGCTCTCTCTTCATACCTCTTTATTCTTGCTTGTGGCCATTGAAACTTCATTCCTTTCTTTCATTATTTATTTTGCCTGTAGACCACAAGTTCAGTCATAGGTGGATAGTTATATTTTGGCTAATATTCATAGGATGGTTGTAATACCCTATCTGAAAACTCATATGCCAGCTCATTCCAGAGCTTAAACAGTTCCCAGTTTTAGATAAATCAGAAAATACTACTTGGGAGCTGTCTTAGAGAGTCTCGTAAATCATTCAGTGTGATTTGATTAAAAACAATTTATATATGTATTTAATAATCACAATTTCTACAAGAAATTGTAGATTTTATGGCCTAGAATTCATCTTGGTCTCAAAACCAACTCTCTTATAAGATACCAAAATTCCAAAGTTCATGTGCTGAAATGAGTTGTATGCATACATTTCAGTATGTGCAAGGAGACCAGTAATTTTCCATCTTCTTAGCAGATAGGATAAAGTGCCCAAGTATGTAGAGGCATCCTTTAATATTCCTTTTAATAAACCTATCTGTTTAAGTCTGTTTGCAGAGCACATGGCCATTATTGAATATTGCAGTGCATCTGCATGATGAATGTATAATGAATTCTGAGAATTCCCAGAGTCTGACTTGGGAATCATCTTCCCTCTTCTCCCCATCTCTCTTTCTCTGTTTTCCTCTCTCTGTCCTCCCCCAGGGGAGCAGAAATTAGTGCTGAGCTGCTGATGATCGTGGCCATCAAGACAGGAGACCTTCAGTTCTCACTGGAGGAAGTGAGATAGACCTTTATTTGCTAGACAGATAGATTGCTCATCTGTTCATCACGTCACTTTTCCAGTGGTGAGCCCTCAGGTTCCGTATCTTCTGTCTTGCTTTCATCTTCAGCCCACAATAAACCTCATGGGCTGGGCATGACAACTGCAATGAACTACTGAACCTGTGTTCCTGTAAGATTTACTCCAGTCAATACATCCTCTAAACTTTCTTTTTTTCCTTGCCTTTCTTGGTTGCAAACACCACATAGCAGGTTGTAGGAATAACAACCAAGTCGTTGAAGTTATCACATACAAAAAATAAAGTTTTCCTTCCTCTATGCAAATCCATCTCACTGCAATGACTGCTGATGCAGAAATTCCGATCTGCTGAAACATTCCCTGTTGACCCAGTAACCCATGTTCTATCAGCCAAGCTGCACTTTTATTTCAGGCTAGGCTGTTCTCCAGCTACTGCATTCTCAGGGTATAAATTTTAGTTAGCTTGAGAAGTATCACTTGGGAGGGCAGTTGGTGTTTTGCCATGAAAATAGGAGTCTAATGTTCCAGAAAGTTCATGTGCCTAAACAATGCTTAGAGATGGGACTCAGATTTGTAATAATAGCCAAACGAAGGCATTTTCTTTTCAACCAGGTAAGGGATAAAATTAAGTTTTTCTTCATATTTAAATATTAATTTAAAAATATTTAAATTAAATTAAATTATAAAATTATTTAAAATATTAATCTTAATTGCAAGTAGTAATTCAGATATTAATCTTCCAACTCCATTATTCCACTCCACTCTCAGGTCAATGTAGGAAAAGAAAGTATTCATTTCAAACAAACTGAATTATATTTACATTTTTATCATTATCGTACCATATTTTAAAGGAGATTTTGTCCTTTCTTTCTCATTAGAAAGAGAAATAAGGAATTAAAAATAGGATTTAGGTAAGTCCCAGAATTTGGGAGGCAGATAAAATTAGTTTTAACAGAGACAAAAGCATATTTATTAAAAGGGGTTTTCTGTCTAGCCTAAGAAAGTGTAGTGCTGAATATCCCCTCATTAATAAGAATTTTTGTGTTCAGTGTGGTAAGGCAGTGTTTTTACTGGATAATGAAATTACTGTTCATTTCAGGATGATAATTTTTATGGATGATTTGTTAATTCTGCACTCTCAAATTTTCAGGCTCTCAAAATTGCTGCAAAAAATTGGCTGCACTCAGATATCATTTAAATTAGTATTGCTTTAAGTAAAAGCTAGATATTACTAGATTCCTTTCCTCTATTTTCTCTAATAGGAAATGTATTTTTATGAATCTTAATTTTGGCATTGCACTGACAGGCACTGTGATTTGAGCTTAACCAGTATTGTAGCTGATTTGACAAGTATTTTACCTTAATATTTTAATTGACAGAGAGCTTGCTTTCTTTCCTTCTTTCCCATAACTGTTTGGCATCATATAAAAGCAAACTCAGATGTACTGTTGTGCCACCAGTTTCCTGTTTCTTTTGAGAAAAGTAGAGAACTATCTCAAATCTGCTCAAATTGCCTTTTTCTTTTTTTATGCGAGTTTTTTCCACACCATGTAAATGAATTTGTAAAAGGTAAACAATTGAAGTAAATGAATAGACAAGAAAACAAAGTAAAAGAAAACAAGGAGTGATGGGCACATGAGCTTGTTTGCTGGTCAGAAAATCTGTATTGCCAGCATGTAGAGAGGAGATGACCCATAGATCCAGAGGAGAAGAGGAAGGGGGGAAAGGAGGAGGCTGGAGAGTGCTGTTGGGTTTGATCTCCTGTAAAATTAACAACCTTCTTGCAGGGACAAGGGGGTGAGTAATCAGAAAACTGCATGGTCCTCTCATCCTGTTCCTGGAGTCAGTCACAGAATCACAATGAGCAAACTGAGACCAAAAAAAATTAAACAGCTGAGCATTTGCCACCCACTCATATTTAACTTAATAATGGAATTATTAGCAGAACAGTTACTTAGAATTTTCAAGGCTGGAACAATGTAGCTGAAAGGCTTAACAAACCCAAACAGCAGCAGACACTCCTTATCCATCAAGGCTTTTGTGTGCCCTCCATTTAATTAGTACACCTTCAAATCCACAGGAAGGATTTTTAAACTTTTAAACTTAACACTTTCACCACTTCCAGGGAAGTCTGGGAAGTCAGCAGGGCTTTTTGTCTGATTTTTGAGTTCCTGTCCTACACTGGGTGAAGCATAGTTGAATTTTTTTCTGGAGTGTAAATAATAAATAAGGATAAAGAAATCAATCTTTTATTTTAGCTGCCACTTCTCCTTTACTTTCTGTCTTCATCTGCTATTTACATCCAAAAATAGCTCCTCTAAAACATTCTACAACTCAAGATAATCTCCTCAGACAGAACTAAAAAATTTTATTTCTCCAGTGAGGGGAAGAATGCTTCATTTCTGTTTCTTGAACACAGATGTATTATCCTGTCTTAATGTATTAAGCTACATGAGCAGAGCTTGGCAACTCATTCTTTTAGCTTTGATCCAATATTTTAAATTATAATTGCTTGTATGATGCAATGAAGTTATGTATTTGAAAATTAAATTATATGTATTTGTTTTATACAAAATTGCCTTTTTTTTAACAATTTAGTTCATGCAAGTAAACGTCTCTTACGTTTTTGTTCATAGTAAAGCAAGCAAAGCAGAAAGATGAAATGATAATTCTCCAAATTCACACTCTAGGAACTTATGGCTTTCACATTTGGAAATCACTCTTCTGTTCAGATTTATCCTTTATCTGTACAGTTTATCACTGTTATGAGACAAAGATTGGAAAGTTAGAATGACATACCCCTGCATGTCACAGAGAGCCTGAATTAAGTGCTGACTTAAATGGACACTGAATTTCAGGTGTGTCTTTGGGTTAAGATGTTAGTTCAAGGAACTACAGAAAACAATTATATGGTGCATGATGGCTTGGCTTATATATTTACTTTTGTTTTCACTGCAGTTTCTTATCTTTGTGCTGTAACCACTGTGCAGATAAGGATATTTGATAGCTGTCCAATTATAAAAACATCTTGGAGGGGAATGCATTTTTCCAATGTACCTAGTTCCCTCAATATTCTTCCATCCCTTCCAAAGCCAGGAAATAATCAAGTTCTGTAGGATTGCTGATTACATGTGATTTTCCAGCCAAAGACACTCACATAAATTAATAGAAGAACCTGATAAGTGTCCAAACTACTTAAAATAAATTTTGCGCCTGTTGAGCTTCATCATCAGCTGCTTTTAGGGAGTGGGAAAATAAGGTTTATGTGATTTTCAAGAATTGGTATATTCGGGAGACTCTAAATGAGACTTGCAACTTTTTTGGCTTTACAATTAAAATAATTTTGCTCCCGCAAATCACACCAAAATTGCATATTGCTTTTCTAAAGGTCTGCTTTAACTAGTGATTTAGACTGTGTAGGAGTTGAAGGTTACACTATTTTAAAGATGTTGATGGCAGTAGGAAACTGTGGGTGTGCACAGGCTGCCATCTTCTGGTGCAGCCAGTGGCCTGCACAGGACATTTCTTCATCTCCAATGGTGAGCACAGAGTCATTTGGGTTGGAAAATACCTCTCATATCTCCATTAGCCCAGCCCACCATGCTCACCACTAAATTGTATCCCCAAGTGCCTCATCCACATGCCTTTTGAATGCTTCCAGGAATGATGATTGCCCTCTCTCATAAGACAAATTTGTCATTTGGGTTTGCTTTTTTTTCCCTAACAGGAATGCGATCAAGTTCATATAGATGATGTTTCTTCTGATGATAATGGACAAGACCTAAGGTAAGATACAGAATTTTTTCTTTTTTTTCTTCTTTTCTTTTTTTTTTTTAAGATGAAATAATTTGAGCATTTACAGGAATACATTGTATTTATTTTTACTGTATTTTGGGTGTTTGCAGTACCTACAGTTTTGCAACTGATGGCTTCCATGCAGCTGCAAGTAGTGCAAACCTTTGTCTGCCAACAGGTGTAAGAGGAGGGGTTGACTGGATGAGGAAGCTGGCTTTCCGTTACAGAAGAGTAAAAGAGTTGTATAATACTTACAAGAACAACATAGGAGGTGAGTTCAATTGTCAAAAACAACTTTGAATGCTGCACGGTGATGAGCTGCCACCCAGGGAAGGAGCCTGGGAAGCCACAGAGGGAATAAAGAGTGATATGACTGACCCATGGGCTGTTGGAGGCTGCTGGCTGTAAAGGCAAAGCCACACGCTGTTGTTCAGGGCAAATGCAGCTGGGAAAACCAAGCAGGCTTCCATTTAGCTTCCACAAGGTCCACTTTCCTCCTTCCTTACCTTACTGAGTTGTTGAACCACTTATTCTACCTCAGATTTGTTGCTGTTCTAGGAAAGATATTGTACAGTTTCCACAGCACAAATTGTTTGTGGATGGCCATTTCCATCCTACATCTTCACGAACTGGTTGGTAACAGCACTGTTGCATAAACTTTCTGCTGGGTACCTGCTAGTCTGTTTTCACCAGTGGATGCAAGAAAATTCTATCACTGCCATGCCAATAGGCCCTTTTGTTGACTCTGTAGCTTACAGTTTTGCCTCCAATAAGTCCAAATCTCACTTGGGACAAGAGCTTTGCTGTTACTGTTTTAATTCATGGACTCACTTATGTCTGCACCAGCAGATTGTAGGCAGTCAAGCAGCAGGGACAAAAGAATCTGTTCTGGAGAGTCCTGTGTGACTTGCAGAGACAGACTTCAGCCTTCTTTTGAGGAGGGGAATGTGTCATCTGACCCCCTCAACAACAGACTGGGAGGACAGGGAATACTTAGAAGTCATTGCTGCAATCACGTATTTTCACTGTTAGTAGTTCAGCCTTTCCTTACCACAGGATAGGAAGCAATAGGACCAAAGGGGGGTAGTAGAGGGCTTTCACTTGCCCTACTTTGCACTTCATTGTTGTTGTAAGTAGAATTTTTATATATTAATAATTCTTTAAACAGTGTTAACCAAAATTTACTGGGTTTTCTTATATCTCCTGATGCATCTAAGATTCTAAAGTTGCTGCATTTCATAAAATCTTTAACACTGATAAGAGAACAAGTCCAAGAGCACAGCACAGGAAAACACATTGAGAGGAACAAAACATTGCAAAAGAGTGCAGATATGTGGATTAAGGTTTTTATTGTCTCTCACACATTCTGCATCTGAAATATAAGCTATCTTAATGGGCAAATTTTTTCACTTGTTCTCCACATCTTAGCCTTTTTAATAATCTTCTTAGCTCATATGTATCTGTTTATTTCAAAAGAGCTGATAGAAAATAACAGGAGGCAGGATTAATCCCATATATTTTTAGGTTATTTCACTTCTCATTTTTGAAGACAGTCATCATCACTTGTTGGGAACATAGGGTGTGAAAGAGAAGAGGGATACTTAAGGTCAGGAAGCCTATTCCCCTGCTCTTCCATGACCAAATCTACATTTAAAATAGCTTGGTTCCAACAAGTTCATGTCTCAGCATTCAATAGGCTGGGTATTTTTAAATGTCTTTTTGTACCCAAAAAAGAGATTTTGAGGACTAACTTTTAAGGACTAACAGATATAAGAACATAAGATGTGCAGCCATTTTGGGCTGTGAATGCTGTAAAAGGAGCCAACTACAACAGGACATGATCAGCAAACAAATATATTTCCATATGTGTAACCTGAGTTTCACACAAGAAGCGGAGTCATAAGCAGGGCAGTTTTAAACATAAGCAGGTACTGCAAAGGCCACTTTATTCTGAAGTGTCTTCTTTTGATCCCAATGACATGGATCTCCTTGTCACTGCCTCTGATAATTTGAGAATAACATATGTGGGAGGAGCTGGTTTAAAAAATATATGTTTCTGAAATAGTTTGAAGTGCAGCCTGATATATAAAGAAATTAAACTAATTGCTGAAATACTAAATACTGAAGTTCCTTGATATAGTGAAGTACAAATAAAACTTAAGATTTCATTGTCATTTAAGAAAATTGATTTTCTTTTTGATGCTTGTTTCAAGTTGTAGTGGAATTTAAAATAGAAACAATGACCATAAACCCTATCTGATACAGAATTTAATTCTATTTTTCTCACTTCTCTTGCATAAAAGGACTCCTGGGTCCCGCTAAAAGAGATGCATGGTTACAATTAAGAGCAGAGATTGAAGCTCTGACAGATTCCTGGCTAACAAATGCACTTAAATCATTATCAATTATCAGCACAAGGTATGTATCTGAGTCTGCTGTAAAAAAAGTTTCTAGAAGTGTAATGGTTATTGTTTTACATTTTAGATTACAATAAATTAGTGCCTTTAAAGAATAGAACAGGTCTACTATGACTTTTGAATAGGACACAGGAAAAGTGGAAAGTGGTTTCGTTTATCCTGATTCCAGCATTTACTAAAGATAGTGTGAAATGTCTTCTCAAATGAGTGTATTTTGAAAGTGTACTGTAGAGTTCTGAGACAGCTTTTAATTTGTTACCTTGTGGACAGCATTCTCTGAACTCCACAGCTCTCTGTTCTGTCCTTCAATGTTTGTGCCTATTCACAGTCCTCCCTAAATACTATATAGATACCAGAACATTAGGGCATTTTTATTTTCCTGAGCAAACTAGTATATCTGAGTATAAATCTTAAGTTTTCAGAAGAGCAAAAATCTCTTTTAGCTGAGTTAAAAGTCTTAAGTTCCCAATATGGAGACGTAACATGTATTGTTCCTCTGAAACAATAAAACTGTGAACCCTGCTTCTACTTAGTAAGCCATGCAATATGTGTTTTACCAGAAAGCGTAACAAAACTTGGTTTTAAACCACAAAAAGGAATAACATTAAGTCATCTTGCTTTCTGAACATGTCTGGGAAAAGACTCAGTGTCAAGTGGAAAGAACAAATTTGGAAAGACACAGAAACCTTAATTTGAACATAACAACTTTTGCAATATGCTTATCTCTTAATTGTTTATTTAACAACGTGTGAAGCACTTCAGGAGGAAGAAAAAACAAATTTGTGTAAGCTGTTATGATTAGCTCTGCATTTCTTTCTGAATTGTTAGTCTTCAGAGAGACTTTTGGTAATGAAGACTGGTTGAGCATTGGTGGATGACTCTGGAAAACTGTTATCCTTCACTCAGGATCGTTAAATAATAATCTTTTGTCATGTTTTCAAAGAACTGTACAACTATAAACCTTCAGAAGCTACCTGTGAGTCAACTAAACATTACTGATATGTTACTAGCAGGAAATTGAGATATATAAAGGTGAAAATAGCAGCCTAAGGTCTTCCTTGGAATTTGTGGAAATGCCAGAAGGAAAACACAAGTATTTACTTTCAACTCCATGTACACATCATGCTCATGTTCCAGCCTGTGAGTGCCTAAAGTAGCTCAGCTCTGAGTTCTCTGGCCTGCACAACTTCTCCATTCAAGTTTTCATCCTCACATTCATCTCTCTCTCTCTTCAGAGATATTCTTACTCTTTGGGCTTGAAGAAAGCAGTGCCATTGTGAAGAAACGTGTAGATAAAAGGGTAGATAAAAGATAAAAGAGTAGCAAATTATGATTTTGCATTCTCTTAACTCTTTTGTTTTGCTGGTAGCTACTGACAGTTAATTGCCAGCATGAAAATTATGCTTTCAAAGCATTCTAATGCCTTGATTTGGAGGTTGGTGGTGGTCTTAAATATCTGTATTTTACTAGACCCATCTTCAAAGACCTGTTTTTTATAAACCAGTGTGGAATATTTCCTACAAATCAGGCCTACATATTTTTAATGATTTCACCAGAGGTTTTGTGTAAATTTTCTGTAAATGATGGTGCTGAGCAGTTGTACTGTGTGAATGAAAGTAAATGTTGAGGGATTCTTAATGTGCTCTCCACAGCTGGTTCACCTCATCAACATTTGGGTACTGTTTTAAAACTATTTAAACTTAAACTATTTCTCTCATTTTAGGAGTAATTGTGTAAACGTGTTGGTAACAACAACCCAGCTTATCCCAGCACTTGCAAAAGTTCTACTATACAGTTTAGGAGGAGCTTTTCCCATTGAAAATATATACAGTGCAACCAAAATAGGTAAGAAAATTATTCTTTCATCCTTTCTGACTACACTGCATTACCAATTTCTTTTCCAGTAGTGGATGTATTCCAAAACACTTCCCTGACACTTAGCCGTTTTAGTTATAATATTTAGGCATTGCACGTGTTCAAATGTGTTTATGTCAAAGAATTCCAAATTCACTTTATTTTCAATGATGCCTAAAGGAATAGGGATGCTGATGAAAAGCCTCAGAAATTCCTCAGTATGATGCAGAAAACGAAAAACTTGCAGAACAAAATAAAGAAAAGTTTCTTGTGAATTTAAATCTGAGCAGAAAATCTGTTAAATTAGCCTCTGCTCTGACCTTCAGCTCCATGCAAGCCAGGCCACAGCTTCACAAACCTTTTCCTGAGGCACAGTATGTCAGTGATGGGAATGACAGCTGTTACTAACAGAACCTGTGTTGCTGGATAACAAAAGGGCACTTCCCCATTCTGTTCATAACTGTGTGCTTTTTGTGCATTATGGCTTGTAAATGTATGGTTTCTGGAAATTGCATCCAAAACTGTAAAACAAGAGAAGCTGTCATTCCTGTGAAATGTAATGCAGCATACAATGACTGATAATTTTGCAGATTTTGCCAATCATCAATTCAGGAATGCTTCATTTCTGTACCTACAGCAACCTTTATAGCATGGGACATGTCACTTGACAAAAGCATTGCAATATGTTTCCTAAATTATTTTCACAAGGAATAAAGCAGTGCAAATTCTAGCAGTGTCAAGCAAAACTATTATCTCAGTCATCATTGAATTAAGTTTTTTCATTACTACATCACTCGTTGCAGGTACATTAGAATTAAAGTTTTTACTTTCCTTATAAGAATATTATTGCAATCATAAGGAAATATTTAAATTCAATTATTCATTTACTAATCTATTCATTTTTGCAATGCTGCTAATTCCTTTATCTTAGTGGCTTTCCTGTAAGGATTAAGAGATCTAGTTTTACCTGAAGCATCTTCATGTCACTAAGGGAATCCATTGCTTCTTACCAGATTTAGTTCTAAATCCTAAGGCCAGGAACTTTTAAAAAACAGTAGTAGCAATGTCTTACCACTGCAAAAGTCCTCTGTAAGGCTTCACCATGACTCACTTGATAGCTTGAATAAATAGTGCATTGTTTTTCAGGCAAAGAGAGCTGTTTTGAGCGTATAGTGTCCAGATTTGGCACTAACATAACTTATGTTGTGATTGGAGATGGCCGAGATGAGGAACATGCAGCTAATCAGGTAACTTCATTCTGAACTCTTATCTCATTTATCTTCCAGGAAAAGAAAGTTGCTTTGAACGAATAATGCAAAGGTTTGGCAGAAAAGTAGTATATGTTGTAATTGGGGATGGTGTAGAAGAAGAACAGGCAGCAAAAAAGGTAACCTGTCTTCTGAAATGTTGGTGTGATACATAGCTACTAATGCAAGCCTTTCTGTTTGCATTTCTGTCAGTGTTGCACAAAATGACAAATAATTTCAGTCCACAGATGCAAGCCAACAAGAGCATGATGAGATCAACACTTAGAGTAAAATGAACCATTTGGATTCTAGCATTTGCTTCACTTCACTTTGGAAAGAAAAAAAACCCCACAAAATTATTTTTAAAACAGATGGGAAAATAATGCAGCAAAAATGTCTGACAAACTTCAAGCAAATTAAAATATAAACAGAAGAAATAGAAAGGGTTATGATATGATGGCTGGGTGGTGTTTTTCTTAAAATTCTGAAATTGATGATATTTCAAGAGAAGTGTTACAGAGAATGTGGAAAACATCTAAAGGACTGTGCAATTTTTTTTGCCAAGATAGATGAAGATCCATAGTTTACTGAAGAAAATATGATAAAAAAATAATTTTCTTCAAGAAAGACATATCTGCTAAAGGCAAAAGAGAACAATGTAGAGATTATGTACCAAATCTGTGTTTCAAAAAAGAACTGTTTCCTCTTTTCTTCATTATGATAATTAAAGTCTAATTTCAGCAGAAAAGTTTCTAATGTTTAGAAACAGATCAAATTAGTAATTTGTGCCATGCTTCCCAGTATAACCCCTGGAAGTGTGCAGAAATTGCATGTTTTGCCTCACAATGCAGTTGCCTCACATTGCCTGTACAGGACCAGTTATGTAAATCTTGTTGTGCTAGGAGTAGCAAGATAAAGCACTCTCTTAGCATTGTAGTTGGAGTGCAAACAAAATGGAAAAAACCAAAATGCTCATTCCAAATGGTTCCTTAATATAGGTACAGTACTGGTGATGGGTCCTCTATAATTTTTGCTAAACAGTGGTGGTTGGATTGTGTGCTTTCTGGTTGGGCATGCTTTTTCCTTAACATTGGCTATATTGCATGGATAGATGTAGAATTCAGAGAGATGGATGAATATAGCACATTTCAAATAGATCTAAACACAACATGGAAGTATTGGGTTTTTTTCTGTTCTGATGAATTATTGAAGGCGAATAATGCATATACCTGCATCTTCTCTCACAGACACTGATGCTTTCTGCAATACAAATTATCTTTTCTTATACTAGAAATGTGTTATTTTCTTATCCAAAGAGATTTCTTTTTCCACCTGGATGGAGAAAAAATGTAATTCAGGTCTGTTTTGAAGTGTTGAGTGAGAAGCATCTTTTCATGGAAGTCTTACAGTCCTTTAAATGATGATTCAGTATTTTACAGTCAAATAATTGGAGCATCAAAGGATTTCCTATTAATGCTCCTTTGTATGGGCTTGCATGCTAACAATAAGCAAGTAGCTCTTACTAAGTAACAGGCATCTTCCAAAGAAACTATTAAGAATTAATTATTTTAACTTCAGTTGAGCTACTAATCTCAGATCTATTTTGGTCTGATTTTTGTCAGTACTTGAATAGCAAAAATCAATCCAGAAACACAGTGGTGTCAAATAGGTGCTGGTAATCTCTAACAATTGTTGTGTGTCGTATGCCACTCGGTGTCACAGTGTTCATCTTTCCTGACCTTTTCCCTCCTCTAACAAACACAGCACAACATGCCTTTCTGGAGGATATCCAGTCATTCGGACCTCTTGGCTCTCCACCAAGCACTGGAACTAGAGTATTTGTAACTGTGTTCTAAAGCTGGTGATCCTTTTATATATATATATATACATATATATATATATATATTTCAAGTACACTGAATTTTTAAGTGTGATTCAATGCCTCTGGCTTTACACATATGAATTGTCTTAAGAAGGGAAGAAATATTTGGAATTGAAAATTCCAAATTGAAGAATTCAGATTGCTGAATGAAGTTAAAACATTAGTGCTACGTAAGAAAGCTCTATGGTCTTATATATGCAACGTTTTTAAATGAATTAGAACTGTGGAGGTTGCTGGTACACACCAAGTGAGCCCTGACAGGAGTGAACAAAGGACTCGAACTGGCAAAGCACCAAAACTCATTTTCCAGCCAACAAGGTGGTGTTCAACAACATTCCTCAAAATGGGATATATTCTCAGCACTGAGGTTTGAACCAGACTTTAGCCTACCTAACCCAAAAAATCTGAATTGGAATGCACTCAGACTGTATAATGACAATCCTGTCTAGACCTGTAATTTGTGTAAATTATTGATGAAAATAATTTACTGTGACTTTATTAGCAGCTGATTTTGGAAGTGAATGCAATTTTTCTTTCTTTTTTTTTGGGGGGGGTGGCAGGGGAGGGAAAGGGTTATATAATATTGTCTCTTTTATAAGTTTGGCAAACAGAATGTGCATATGATGTGTTGTGCCTTAAAGAGAAGACTGTGTTCGTGTGTTATAATGTAATTTTGGTTAAAAACTATGTAGATAAACAAAAAAAAACCTTTGTGATAATTTTTGACATGACCAAATTTGAAATTCAAAGAAATCAAAGAGCAGGGCTGCATCAAAGAATTTAAGTATTTGTTGCAGTAAGCAAAAAATAATAAAGGAAAGTTTGTGTTTTTATTTGGATTCTGAATAATTCCACTGATTTTTTGAGAAAAGTTAAGAATATATTGGGAGGTTGATACTGGGGACCGCTACCTGGAAAGGTAAAAGAAGAAATAGTGTTTAACACCTTCAGCATCATTTCTTGATTCTCCAGCAAGAGAACTAAGAGCCATATTCATTAATTACTGAATCCACTGAAAGCCATACGAGTGCATCTGCTGTGTATAACAGAGCAGAGTTCCACCCAGCAGACAAAGTGTTCAGGTGGCATTCCTAGAAGATGAAAATGTGGAGCTAATCCCAGACTGGAATGAAACACAAGTTCATTGGGAATGAAAAATTACTAAAGAAGCTCTCAGCAGTCAGATGTGGAAATAGTGCTACATTTAGCATATTCAGGGTCAACACAAGTTGCTGAAATGGCTGGTTTGATGACATCAGCCATTTCAGGAGAATAGTCCACTGGTAAAAAAAAAAAAAAGCATTTTGGTAGCTTTCCCATTCTGTTCCACATTTTCTTGTATTTTGTTTTTGGTCAGCATGATTTTTCTCATTCATTTTTGATTACTCAACAAAATTACACAGGGACAACCCTAAATGTTTTTGAATCAGAAATTTCAATAGCATATCAGGCATCTGAGGAGAGGATAAGGAGGTGATTTTCATGAAGAAACATTGAGAAATATATCACCTTAACTTCCATAATTTCTATTAAAAGTTACAGGCCACACAGCAATAATTATCTTGCAAGTTTTGAACGTTCTACCTTTCAGCTATGAAAAATGAGCAAGATCCATATTGCACACAGGGCCCTTAATGTTCCATGTGCAGCTTGAGCACTCTGAAACGACAGCAACTGGTTCGTCTCTCATGGCAGAAGATGGAAACTACTTTTCCAATTTTTAACTCTGTTAAAGATGTGGAGACACCTGAGGCTGCGTGTGCTCTGACTGCAGGAAGAGGTATTTGCAAGAGAAGATGTTAAAGGCAAACTCCAGGATGTCTGCATGAGCACAGTAGTCAGCACTGAGGTGAAAATCTTCCCTCTTTGTGCTCTGAAGCCATCATATGCCATAGTTACCAGGTAGTAACTTCGTTCATTTAAATTTTGTTGAGGTTTTAATAAAGTAACTTGGTCGGTGAAAGCCTGGAGCCACTACAAGTCCAAGGTGAAACTCCTCTATAAATTCATAAAAATTGATTTCTTTGCTCTGTTGGAATTGGATATACAAGTCACCACACAACAAACTAACAATACTTTTTTATCACAATTTAAAGCCATCACATGAGACTGGCCACATATGAAATCACTGTAGACTAGGTAGCTATTTGGGTGATAGACTTGTGCATCCAAAACAAAAACAATTAAGCATATCTTCTTTATGTTTTCAGTGCCTGGAAATACAATGTCATACAAATCTGTAGTGCAGCTTTTTGTAGTTTTTCAGGTGGGAAAAAAAGTGTTTCTACTGAAATCGGAAAGAACTTTGAAGCCCTTCTCAAGTTCCAGCATTACATAAAAATCTCAATATAAAAGACATTATAAAACAAAGAAAATTTATGGTTAACTAGTTTTTTTCTCTTCTTTTTTTTTTTTTTTTTTGACATGTCATAGTGTTATTTAAATGCATGAAGTACTACTATTTCTCAAGTTGTTTGTTCAGCTTTTCAGTGTTCTTTTCCTAATCAGATGTAAGAACAAATAGAAGCCCGGCAACAGCCGTTGGTTCTTATTAAAGGTTTGCAGTGCCTTCATTGGAGTTGTGCTTAGCTTTCTGTGGCAGATATGGCTCAATTAATATATGGACTTCAGGAGAGGAGATGGAGGCAAAAGGAGGGAAGTTTCACAAAGCATGACAAGGTTCTGTGTGCTACTGTAGCAGAAGTTAATTGTTAAATCAAGTAATCCACACAAACATGTATCCAGAGAAAATTCAAGGATGCAGCTCAAAAGGCTTCGCAATGCTAAAACTCTAAAACAAAATTTCAGAGCATGAATACTCTCTTGCTAAGCAAAAATTGCTATTTATCTTTAAATAAAATTGTGTAGGGCATGCCTGCCTTGTAGAGAGAAATTAGTCTGATATATTTTCCTGCATGAACAATACAGAGGAAAAAATAACCAAGGCAGAGACAGTCACGCCAGACTGTTCCAGATGGGCCTAAGAAGATTAAACTGAAGGTTGGTCATTTTGACATTGAGTGCATTTTAATTCAGAAGCATATTAATCAGAAAATACCTTCCCTTCAGCCTCTTCTCAACAACCAAGATTGAGCACAAGGTCCCATTTGCAAGTATTTAGGGCAAAAGAAATATAGAATAAAATGCCTTTTTTTGATATTCTAGCAGTTCTCAGTACAGAACCTGAACATTCATTAGGCATTTGAATGGTCAGCATGCAAAATAGAAATATGGTGTGATTACAGTCATGGGATAGTATCTTAGACATTACTCTGTGCAGTTCAGTAAAAGAGGGCAAAAACCCCCTAAAAATTATGCTTATTTTTAGATGCCTGTGGAGATTGTGCACAAAGATATATCTGGGAGCAGCTAGCTCCCAGATCTGTTCCCATTTGAATCCAGTGTGAGCAGCAGTGTTTGCAGATGCAGAGTGTGTTCAGTGTAAGCATTGACAAGGGAGACGAGGCCAGATCAAAGTCCTCTCTATCAGCACTCTTCATCTTGGGGCAGATGAAATCTTGCATCCCATCAGAACTGCAGAGTTTATGGAAACTATAGACCTGACCCACGATAGGAAAACTAGGTTTTAGCAGTGAAGTTGTATCCAGATCCAGGGTTTCAGTCAAAAGTCGTCTCTGCTTTATAGGATTGACACCAGGCATATGCTGTAAATGAATATGGTATTTAGTATCTCTGAAGAGGAGCTGAAGTGACATTAGCCAAAATCCCAGGAACAGCAGCATTTTGGAGATTTGAAGCCAAGGGTCTCTGTCATGTATTAGTAGATTATAGTTTATTAGGGCCTACCTAATTTAAGAAAAATGTAAATTAAAATTAAAAGCTTGTAAAATTATGTACATCTTTACTATTTCTCAATAAATACACTTGGAAGTGTCATTTTCTGCACTGTACAATGTTGTAAGTTGTTTGGTTTGTGGCTGAAAGACGCAGTGTCTCTTACAGGAGCTGAGTGTGAGCTGGGACTCTGACGCTGCCCCGTCGCTCATGCCTGGAGAAGCCCTGAGCCCATACATGTGCTCAGGTAGACACTGGCTCACCTGTGGACCGTGCCTTGCCCCAGATGCAGCCTGAGAGACAATTAGCAGCTCTTTTGCAGTGTCCTTGAGAGGAAATCCAGAAAAAATCAATTTGATGCTGTAGACACAGAGTGTATGCATTTAAATCTCTGTGCCAGTTCACTCACTAATGTTATGCTACTACCTTTATGGTCATGGTTGTTCAGGAGCAAGTAGCCTTTCCCGTTGAAGTTCACCCTCAAGGAACTCTAAATATTTTTGAGAGCAGTACTTCATTGTTTTAGTGAGGTACTGAATTTCATTTGGAGGAGGCAGTGACACCCACAGTCTGCTAGCAGAGGCCAAAGTGGGATCACAGAATTGTCAGCACACTTGGATGTGACATTCTGATCTTGGAAACTACAGGCAGGTGGCAGAACCTTGGTAGCCACAGCGATTCAGCCACAAGAAGCAGTTTGTAAGTAGTGGACTTCTTTGCAAGGGTTTAGATTAAAGCAAGTATCTTACAAACACAGCTGTTCTGTACGTACATCTGCTGCCCTCTCAGTTTTAGGAACAAAAAGGAAGATCTATCAAAAATCAAGTGGCCAAAATACAAAGAAATCTCATCTGCTGAGCAGACAAACCCATAGTAAACAGTTCTACAGTGTGTCTCCCAAATGGGTTTGCATGTGACTCCAAAGAAGAGCCATTCAGTAACATTTCAGAAGAGTGAGATAAGAAGTAGTCAGAAAATGGGTGATAGCATAACATTACCTTCATTTCTCATTGCTGAGAAACTCAGTGCTCTAAATGGCTGTCATTGTACCCTGCACATGATGCTCACAGTGACGAACTCAACCAAAAATAAAGTAAAAATATCATACTGAGAACATTTATGGGTCAATTCTTCCTCATTTGGGTGCAAAAATGCTTATTCATCATTATCATTACCTATAAAACTGCTTCAGAAAAATGCACTTTAAGGTTAACTTGTTTGATTAATTTTCTTCTTTTTTTTTCCAAACAAATCATGGATTCTGAAACATTTTGGAAATGTTTATAAGTTTGGGAGAACTTTTCTGAATTTCCAAAAGCCCAAACAGTAGAAGGAATTCTGAGAAAGTCAAAACATTACAAGTTTGTTTTTCCACATTAATTTCTCTACAAATTGCAAGATCTGACTTCCAAAGTACTGAGTATCTAACTTGAAATAACTAATTAAAAAAAAAATGAAGGATTTGTTTTTCTGGTTGAAAGTAAAGATAGAAAAGAAGAAAACACCAGAAAGTTTGAGAAATCAATTTTTTAAATGGACAAGCAAAGAAACTCCTTTCGTACACAAAAAAAACCCAAACAAACAAACAACATTTTTCAAATTTTCAGGAAAATTTAGGCTTCAGACATCCATCTAAACATGGACTATTAGAAATTCACATATTCACTTCAGTAAACATGAAGCAAGAGAACAGAGAAATATGAAGGATAAGATTTATAGGAATTATATGAAAGAGTCAGGCTAGAATGGAGCTTGATTAGATTCAGTTTTTCTGCCTTGCTGGTAGTGTCTGGGAG